TGTTTACTTCATGTGTTTCATTGGTAAATAGGAATGTTAGCATTATACTTTTTAATACTTTTTAATTATAAGTTAAAATTCATTAAAACGTATAAAAGCATGAGAGAAACATTAAATTAGAAATAAAAAAATGAGACCCATATTATTTTTATATATTTTTAAATAAATTTTAATTAGTAGTTAAGAGTGAGTTAGAAAGAATATGTTAAATAATGTGTTAATAGCCTTTCTTGAGTGTATCCAGGTCTCTTGTTAAGTCTATAAATATAATACATTTCTTATAATAATTTGTATAGTTATTTATGAACATCAAGGTTTGAATTAGTCTTAGTCCACTTATAATTTCATATGATATTGAACTATCTGCACATGTTTAAAGTAACTTCATACCCTAGTTCAACAAAATATCTCTTATATACTAAGCCATTTTTATTTCTGATCTAGCTTGCTTTTGAATTTACGTTAGTATTGCAATCCTTTAGTTCTAATAATATAGCAATAGTCTAATAGATCTCTTTATCTTTATTATTTAATCTCTTATACGAAGATTTTTTACAGGAGAAATTTTATTCAAATTATAATCTAATACTAAATATAAATATATCTTTTTTAACAAAACTTTAAAATATAACTCACTACTATTAGACCCAACCCATGTTAGTATGGATCTCTTTATGTATAATCTATTTAAGTTGCTTAAGTTGCAAAGGACTTAAAGTTTGTGTATACCAACCAGAATTTGGATTATATTTAGCATAACCTTTTATAAATATATATTATATATATTAATTGATGAGTGATACTGTAGTAGGATCCTCCTCGGCATAAATTTGTCAAACTGCCTCTCCAATCCAAATATGTCTTTGGTATTTAAAAAAATAAAAACTAAAAATATTATTCACATATATAATTTCTTTTATATTTTTCACATAATTTATTATATATTTTTATTTTTTTTTCTCTTCTTATATAAAAATGATGTATAAATAACATTATTCTAAAAGAAAAGGCGTTTCTTGCTTTTTTACAAAATTTTGCACCCAAGAGTAGTGTTAATAAAAGTGCGCTTCTTCTATTACAATTCTTTCTTGGAACAACCAGCTTCTTTAATTTCTATTAAATAATCAATTGATGTGTCTTATATATTCCACTATATTATAGAAACAGATAATGAAACTTCATTTCGTATTAAAGGTCAATATGAGAAATGAGTTGCAAAGAGCATACATTTGCTCAAATGGAATCAATTTATTAATAGAATTAATGTTTGAACTTACATGTATTTCAATATTATGTGTTAAAAACTTTTACGTTAAATTTATGTTTATAGGTTTTTTAACGTTTTTTTAAACACACGTTAAGTTCTCTAGATCATGTGAGGTATATTAGCTAGCAAAGAAATATTCGGTAAGTATTTCATTTTAAAATTTATCCCCTTGACAAACGCAGATACGCCATCCATGGCTCAAGAGGGAGGGGAAAAAGGTCATATGAACTAGCTATAGTTTATAATCCAAACCATGTGTTATCTTGCTTATAGTTTCAGGGAAATGGAATTTCTTAGGTACAGCCTTGCATTTTGAAATAGTACCCAACATGCATATGTTTAAATCAACTTGTCTAGCAATCCAATGCCAATAGCATGTTTATTTGACTAAGAAAAAAAAAATGGTAGCAATGCAGTCAATGTCAACCTTGCGTCCTTGCCCATTGCTATATATACAAGAACCAGCCGGCGAGAACTATGAAGATATATATATAGCAATACAATTAATATCTTGACGTATCTCTATCTTTGATCATCTTCAAAATGTATAATGGTGAAATCAAGACAACACAATCACCATACAACGGTCCTCCAACTGGAACATGGACTACAGGTTTCTGTGATTGCTTTGAAGACTTCGGAAGTTGTAAGCTTCTTTCATGAACAAGTCGTATATGTAATGGTAGCATTAAGTTTATTTGGTGTTGTTGCATTTATTATTTATTATTGAAGTTGCTTTTCTGAAAGGAACTACTTAGATAGGTTACGAACAACAAAAGAAAAGATTACAATACAAAGAAATTGGAGCAATCTTTTGGTAAAACTACTTTTATGTATATGCTCACACGGGACAACTTATATGGAATTAAATCAATACGCAACTTATATGTATGTACCACTCACACACAGCCAAAAAAGTCATTGGCATGTACGTGTACATTTAAAGTTTGTAACATGATAAATTTGATTCTTTTTCATACTTCAATTTTTATGTTCACGCTAATTTTTATTTATTTTTTTGTCAGTTTCTTTCTCATCACATCACACATCATACATTTATCATGTATTTTTCTTCTTTTTATTTCTCTTTATCTTCTACAATGTATATATATACTTCCGGTTGGAGTGTGAAAAAGATAAAAAGCGAGAGAGAGAAATATTATATAAATATAACATACGGTGTTAATTTTCTAACATTCCAATAGTCAATCTGTTTAATGAAAATTGATATTATATACAATAAACAATTGTCTTCTTAAAAGTTACTTTGAGCTCAATTTTGCAATATGTTAATTTTTACTTACTTTTTTTCCTCCCTTTTTTCCCTCCTTAAACGTTGAAGGCTGTATGACTTGCTGCTGTCCGTGTATCATCTTTGGTCAGAATGCTGAAATTCTGGACAAAGGAAGAACATGTGAGTAACTTAAATGATTTATCATTATATATATTGTAGTTAACTACATCATCTTCAATAAGCTCATACATATTATTGATTATTTTAATCTTTACTTCCTTCCTCGCAATAAAAACGGGAAACATATTTGCAGCATGTGCATTTGCGGGTTTGGTCTACTATGGCCTTTCCTATTTCGGGTTTGGATGTTTATATTCTTACACATACAGAAGCAAACTAAGAGGCCTCTACTCCTTACCCGAAGAACCATGCATGGACCTGTGCGTTCATTGCTTCTGCCCTCACTGTGCCATTTGCCAAGAGTACAGGGAACTTAAAAACCGTGGATTGGACCCCTCAATAGGTATAAATTTTCAATAATGATATTTATACCCTACACACTACCTTTATCTCTTTTTTTTTTATTATTTAGAATTTAATTAAAGTATATATACTATCATCCAATCATAAATTATTTGTATCGGTAAAAATTATTTATACAATTAATTTAAAAGTTATATCTATCATGAATTTTAATTGATTTATCTTTCTTTTCAATTATATAATGTAACTTATCACATTTTCCCTCCCTTTCTATTTCCATTGATCTCTCACTAGGTGTATATATCTAATAAGTATATAAAGATCAGTTTTTCATAAACCATAGTTAAGCACTAGTTATAAATAATAATATAACTAGAGTCTTTCCTTCATGTTAAATAAACTCAAGTTTATAAAATTGTAGGAACATGTAAGTATTAATATATCATATCCGCAAGGTCTAACCTTTTATAAATTTGTGATACAAAATATACAGGTTGGACAGCCAATGAGGATAAAATGAACAGAGCCAACCAAGTGCCTCCAAATGTTGCACCGGGCATGGCTCGCTAGAATATTTCATGGTCTTGGATGCATCATGATTCATGCATGCTGTTGTCCTAGACTTTACAAATGTTTAATTACTAATCTGTTTATATATAAATTATGTTTGTGTTTCTTTCATAGGTTTCAGAGATCTATTGGGTCACGTTGTTTTGAACTTTGAAGAGTTGTTTTACATTATATATGTATTATTTCTTCTTTTGGGTGAAACAAACGGGGGTGCTGGAATATGTGTTTGATTTTGTTATATCAATTGAATCTTTGTACTTTGGATATCGCATTTGAAGTAATAAGATAATTTTGAAAACGTACACATCGGAATGCTCAAAATTGTTGTGACATTGTCGCAATCCCAGTCCCACACAAGATCATAGAGATGACTCGTTTATATATATATATATATATATATATATATATATATTCAATTTCGATTTTTATTATTTTTTTCTTCGCTTGCTCACAAAGAAAATAAGTAAACGTCAAAGCCATAAGATAATTAGAAGGTTGATTCACCCAAAAGAGTAAGACTAGACTTTGTTTACTTTGAATCTTCAACCTTTGCAAACGGCCATATATACAGGCACAGCTTCATATAAAATGAGTCAACACGTAAATTTTTTTTTCTTTTTTTTTTTGTGAAAAGATAAATCTCGGCCAAACAATGCAGAATGGTGTATTAGAGAAGAAAAGATAATAGAGAATGGGTTAAATCAGTCTAAAGAAAGGAAATAAAAACAAAATAAAATGTATCAGAGAAGAAAGATGGAGCTTGCATTAGAGCATTGGTGGCTTGGGTTTGATGCAAGGAACAAAGGGTATGGTATTGTTTTTCTCACCTTTTTTATTAGGGAGAATAATGTTAAAAATAAAAAGCGATAAAACATGAGAAAATTAAGAATCTAAAATTTAAAATGTAAATTTAAATTAAATTGCTAACGATGATAATAAAACATCCATTGATTTTTTGGTTATTAAAACATTGAAAAAAGGAGGTCGTAATAATTATCGTTGAAACTGAGTGAAAGAGAGTGAAAAAAATATTAATGAGAATATAATGAATATAATAAATTAAGCAAAATATATATATAAAAAAAATATCATTCTTTAAGTAAGAAGTAGAACGGGGTTTACTTGTTATTTGTTGTAAAATATAGTAATCAGTACTTATCACTTTTATTTTCATATAAAAATACTCCTCCCACTCAATGTGTATATATATATATATATATAACATGTTACGATATAATATGATTTTTCATTGTAGACGAAATTCATCGATCAGTAATCTAAACTAAACACAAAACAAAATATAATTTTGATACCCTCTAACAAAATCTTGTCGTTGTAGTATAGTGGTGAGTATTCCCGCCTGTCACGCGGGTGACCCGGGTTCGATCCCCGGCAACGGCGTAATTTTGTCTGTTTATTTCATTTTATTTTGAATTTATCTGTTTGCAATTTTTCATATCCACAGCGAAGCTTGGTGCATTATTGTTTTTAATTTCTAGGGTTTATGTTTCTGTGTGATCCATTTGAAGGAGGAAGGAAGAAGCATGAACGTTTGTGGTTGCTGGGTGTCATCGATGAAGTTTCCCCTAAGGTCTAGGTGCCGCTTTTCGAAGCCCCTATTCTCTGTTTCCTCTTCTTCTTTCATTCCAAATTCTTCTTCTACTTCCGTAACAACCATCGCCACAGAACAGAAGGAACCTTGGTTAATTGTTGGCCTCGGCAATCCTGGCAAGAAATTCGCTGCTACACGTCACAATGTCACTACTCATATCTTTTTTTTCCATATTATTATTATTATTAGCAACTTCTTCAGTTAAAATAACATATTTCGTACTTACTTACATGTGAATGTGTTATACTTTTGATAGAGAGAGTCGAGTTTTGAGTTGATAACTCTGTTTTGGAGTTTTATTTCAGGTGGGCTTTGAGATGGTTGATACCATAGCTGAAGCCGAAGGGATATCTATGACCAGCGTTTCTTTCAAAGCCTTATTTGGAAAAGGTTATAATATTAAAACTCTAATATTTCTCTCTAATTAATTTGGTTAGCATTCTTTGTAGGTTATTGGTAAAGCTATGATCTCTCTCTTGCTCCTTAGATGTTATGGTTCATAGGGAATTCCACCTTTTTTTGGGTCTAATGCTCTTGATGGTATCGTATCATTGTCCAAAATTATGAGCATTTAAGTTTATCCTCAACCTTGCGATTTTTCGGTTATGTTTAGGACTTTTTTATGAAAAAATAGTATGTTACGCGTTGGGTAGTTGATGGAAATGGAATCTCATTCTGCATTCCTTGTCAAGTGTGAATGGGAACTTTTAGTGATAGCTTACTTGACTTGATATTCTCAACCTTCATGTCTTCGTGTCTAAATTGATTCACTCGTCACATGGGGTACGGTTGCTTAGTGTCCAGAATTGTGGTTGTATCCTGAATGCTAATTCTTCTCGTAGTTATCAATAGCACTACTATTGCATCGTGTCAAGGACTTCATCTACTATAGAAATCCCATTGCGAAGCATTTTAGCTTTGCGGATGTTGTGCCTACTCTTGTGCCGGAATTCACCACGGAATTCACGACTGCTGCAGCTGTGAGTGTGAATGGAGGCCAAAAACCTTAAGATTATGACTTTTGAATGTCATGTCTTTAATTTTTGGGCATATATTAAATTTGATATTTTGTATGTGTGTAGTGTAAATTATTTAACTTGTATTTAAAATCTTTAGTATAGCAGTCATCCCACTATAGTGGTTTTAGGGTCTGTGGCTCACCGCTATCTAGTAGTATTTGTATGTTGCTGATAAAAGCAAAGAGAAAAATTATTTGTATGTACCCATTCATGACAGATGTTGTTTTCCTATTGCAGGTTTTATAGGTGACGTACCGGTTATACTTGCAAAGCCACAGACTTTTATGAATTCAAGTGGTGAATCTGTAAGTCTGCTATCTGGAGAATCTTAAAATGTAATATGTAAATATTATGTCTACAATTACTCATGCTAACTCTTGTAACATCAATTCTCTCTTTTGATTTAAAGATTTGTGTTTTTATATTAATTTTAACTCATTTTTTCTGTTGTACCGTTGTCATGTTGTATCCTATACTTTAAAAACTTGCCACATCCCCATGTCCATTTCCTTGTCATAACATACCCTTATTCCATGTTGTATACGTACTTCCTCAGATTTTACTGGGATAAATACCTTTATCTTGATCCTGATTGGCTGGTGTTCAAATTTATTTTGAAGGTCGGGGCCATAGTTTCATATTACAAGATTCCATTGAAGCAAGTACTTGTGGTATAGTATCTATGTTATGATTTCTTTGTTCTTTTTATTTGCAAGTGACAAAAGAAAAGTAGAACGATGATCTGCTTGACTGTTAATCAATAACTTTCTTCTTCAGATCTTTGATGACTTGGATTTGCCTTTTGCAAAATTGCGGCTGCTACCAAAGGGTGGACATGGAGGTCACAACGGGTACTTACAATCTTCTTTGTTTGCACTCTTTTTGCTACCTTACAGTAGGCCTGGTTTGGTACCTTATTGAGTTTATAAAGTAACACGTCCATCGTTGTTGTGACTATTGTGGCCAGTTTCTTCATATTTCTGAAAGTTGAAATGCCAATATTCCCTCCTTTAGTCATACCCTGCAATTTGGATCAGGGAAATGCTCAACTCAGAATAATTTGCTCCCTGAAATTGGCTTCCTCTGTTAACCTAACCTAGCCTTTATATACTTTTATTTCCTGTGTGTGGTTCCACATATTCCGTGCAAGTTTAAGAATTTCGTTCTCTTTATTTTTGAGAAGGCAGCTGAAGTTTTTTTATGATAAGAGTGATATTATACACCTTCACCTTGTTCTTTCAGAGCAGAACATAAATGAAGTATTACTGTTTTTTGTTCTCCTTGCTGTTTGGCAGAATGAAGAGTGTTATTAATCACTTTAAAGGGAATGTTGGTTTTCCCCGTTTAAGAATTGGTACGTTCATATCATTCCTAGGATTAACATATTCATGTACGTTACAGTCATTTGTAATACTATTTGTCATTTTATTGTTGATTTCATTAGGTATTGGACGGCCTCCTGGGAAAATGGATCCTGTAGCATTTGTTCTTCGCACGTTCACTAAACAGGAAAGGGAAGAGGTACGCATTTCTTGAAGTTTGAACTGACAAACTGGCCTTCAGCATATGGAAGTTTTAAATGCTCATAAAAATATCTTTCAGTTGAATTTTACATTACAACATGGATTAGAAGCTGTACGGATTCTTTTGCTGGAGGGATTTGATAAAAGTGCAACATTTGTTAATAGTGCCAAGAAGATAGAGCAATTAGGTTGAAGAATTGCTTACTGAAGGATATCCTTTAGGCAAGTACAAACACAGGATCCTGTTGCAAGGAGATACAAGTTTTCTTTAAAAAAGTAACTCATTCAAGGCTCTTTTTTAATTCGATAGACATATATTTGAGGAAGTATTCATCCATTATTTCAGAAAGCAGTTCCAGGCTCTGGCAAACTGAATTCGAATCTTATGCTTGGAATCTTCAGATTCATGCAAGTTTCCATACTGTTGTGTTTGGTCAATTTTGAGCAGTTCCAGCAACTTGAATTATATAATGTGATTTGGAATTATTAGGCAATTGTAGGTACATTTTATAATGATCACATAAGATCATTTTCTCTGTTTATAATGATCCATCTTTGGTACCAGTTAGTGATATAGCTCACACGTTTGCTCTGTTTGCTCTGCATTTCTTACACAGTTTATTGTGTATTACCTGCGCACTCTCTAACATATTGTTTTCAATACATTTTTTTATTTTATAAAATTTGTGAAGGTATTATGATGGGAACTACTAGGAAGTTGGATTTTCTAAATAAAGATTAGAATTCAAATCATTTAGTGCGTCCTAGTTGAATTTCACTCAATAATAATGGATTAGAGTTTGTCTTGCTAATCATAATTATCTATATCTATATTAATAGTAAAATTTTCTTGAGAAGTATTACTAATATTATTAAATGCATAGAATTAATAATAGCATGTTGTTGACGTTACAAGTAATTAATAAAATCATTAGGGTAAAAGTGTTGATAAAACATTATTAAATAAAATAATGCTGAACGTAATTTTGGCAATTAATACAAATAATTTAAAATTTGAACATGTTAAAATGTTTCTTTTCTTTCAATTTGAGAGTTAAATATCATTTTATAAAAATGATTCATTTCTAACTATTTTAGAAGAATTTTATTTGTGAAAATTTATAAATATTTTAGAAGCAGTAAGTAATAAAAATATATATAAAATAGACAGAAATGAGAAAATAATCCATTGTTCTTTATTTAGTGATAACATTTTGATTAGTAACACGTAATTCTAACTTTTACTGAAAAAAGATTAATTAGTAAAACACATTAAATATATAAATTAAAATGTATAAGTAGACAAATATAAGTAAAATGTTTTGACTAATTAAAGAATAGGCAGGGGAATTTACAAGTAATTAATAAATTCAATGTCAATGGTTTAATTGATAAGTATTAAACACTTCTGAGTCCTGACGTATCACAAGCACGTGACCCTGATGATGAGTTATTGAGATTCAGCAAACCTAAACTTTTTGTTGTAAAAAAGGAAATAAGTAAAGTATAGATAGTTTTATTCTTCAGTTAGAATTTGAAATATCACTTATAACTGGATGGATATAAAATTATTATTTTTTTCCCGAACAATGTTGATAAACCAATTCTCTTTAAATAATATGTAAAGTCGAGATAAGGTGAAGAGATCTTCATTTCCCTGAACATTTAATTTTGAAACAGATTATATGCAAGCACGGGTTATAATTTGATCTGTTCAAATCTTATTTAAGACCCTCAAGGTATATCTGTTATTAATATTGGGTAATATCAATTTTTTAAAATATTTTCAAACATGATTTTAGTTTGTAATGCTTGTTAGAAAATAAAGAGAATAAAATAAATAAAGTTAAGAAACACAAATAACATAATATTCATATTGCCTTCAAGTTATTGAGATGGAAAACTTAACAAACGGAAAAAAAATGTTGTGCGCATAGGGAGAGAAAAATAAACAAACGCAAGGTTGAATTATATTCTCTTCAAAATATTTTTCAATAAATTTTTTTTCCTCTAATTAACGAATTTTTTTAATGCATCTAAATATTAATAAAAATCAATGTGAAATTGCATTATTCTAACAATGCATCGTGATCAAACATTAGGACTATACACTTCACCCCGTGAATTTTGATACTCCCTTTGTTTTAACGATTGCAGAATTTCGACTGATCCGTTTGTAAGGGTATTCTTATGATTAAGATAAGAAAAATAAACGAGCAGCGGTCAAGAACATAAAATTATTTATTTTGAAAAAGTATATTAATATTTTTTATTATAAATTTTAATGGGTTTCAGTGTGATCGAAAAACTAACACACGTGACTCTTTAAGTAATTGTTTTTTGTTGACAATTTTTTTAAGTGAACATATCGGCTAGAATTATTTTAAATTTAATTTAAAATGTATCATAATTTTAATTCACTAAAATTTACAAGTGGTTGCATACTTGCATTTTTATTATTTTACTTTAAAAATAGTTACTTTTGAAAATTCTAGAATTGTACATGTTTTTATGAATGATTGAGGGCAACTTAAATAAAAAAGTAAAATGTTAACAACATAATCTTTTGAATATATTTGTTATAATTAAATTATTTTAATTTTTTTTAAAATGATTAATTTACAAAGTAAGTATTTTAATTTTTAAAAAATAAATTAAATGCAAAAGTAATATATTTAAAAGAATACGCTGTTTACATTTCTTTAACAGAAAAAGCAAACAGACAATTTACGTAATTAAAGCTCCTAGAGTGGGAAGAGTAGCAGCATATACCGCGTGAAAATGACTAACATAATTTGGACTTTCACCCACTTTTTTGCAGCATTTCTGGCTGATCTGCTTTAAGCATTTCGTCCATTGCATGATTCATGATTAAGGCAAGAGAAAGTGCCCATTTTCCTTTTGTAGTCAGCTTCAGCTTCAAGATTTGGGGTACCTTTCTTTATTCTTCCATGCTTCTGCATGTGAAGTGTTCCTCCTTAATTTCCAGTCCAACCCCGGCTATAATTGACTGTAATCATGCATAGCTCAACGTCAAATACTTGTTTGTCAATGCTTATTTCAAAGCAGCAATTCAGAAAACTTCATGTTCTTGCCATTTGTTTCTCTTGATCGTTTAATCAAATATATAAATTGGTCTCTATCAATGATTATCATCATATTAATTAATACTAAGTTGTAGTGGAATATGCATCTAGTCATACTATGTCACACCTAATCACATTCAAATGTTTGATAACTGAACTATCTATTAACTCGTTTACGTAAATGCAATGTGTTCTTGTTTGGAACCGAAGTCGCACCTGTCTTGCATTAATATGAAAGGGATTTCAATACTATAATAAATACAAATGTGAGGCTTCCAAAGTTTAATAGTTATAGATTTCACTATTAATCATTTTTGGCTTTTAAATTTTAATATGCATTATAAAACTTAGATATAATGTTATAAAAATTGTTAGTAACATTTTTATTTAATATTTTATCTCAATAACTATAACTAATGATAAAAATTGACATAAAATATCGATTTTAATTAAAGAAGAATGATCTGATTTTTTTCTTTCGGATAAATCTCTACCAATCGACAATAAATTAATGTACTTGGTCTTCTGTCGAAATAGTCAAATATGAATTTGACACGACATCAAAAGATTCAAAACCAACTTCTTTCATGTTTGTAATTATAAACTGCTTTTATTTTTATTAATAAAAGGTATATCTGTATATCTGTTAGTCTACCACTAATGAGCTTGGATTTGATTGATCATAAGTGCTGGATTTGAGAATCGAAAAGAATTAGACACAGGGACTTAAGCAATACCCTACCTGATTGGTGATTAATTATTACACTCGATCTGTCAACGAGTATTAGAATATTGGTTAAAAGTAATGCACGTATTTCTTATTAGATATCACGGAATGTGCTTTATTGACACTGTTAAATACTTCATCATATTTAAAAAATTTAAAATAATATCCCTATTATTAAACATGTCCTTAATACCACGACATAATTCCCCACTTAAATTGTTGATTATATTTTATTTGAAAAGCATTAATAAGAAGTGAACGAGTTAACACAGGTCTACTTTAAGGGTGAGAAAAACCAACGACGGAATTTGCAAGATCAAAGCTCACGCGCGAGCCCTGTTGCTGAAAATTCCCAATGATAGATAACGGATAATTTGACGGCGCAAAAGCGAAGCAGAGTGTCCCATTCGTGTCCACCCGAATCAAACACGCCTCCTCCGCCAACCTCCACGACCCTCCACGCATCTCAAACGACACCGACGGGATCACCCGCGGTGGCGACGGCAAATCGTAGCACGTTTCCAACGGCGTGAACCCCTTCGCGCGTGGTAAGTGCTTAGTCAGCGCCACGAACGCGTCGCGCAACGCCTCATACGCCGGATTCAGCAACCGAGTTATGACGGTGCCAGAGTCCACGATGATTCCACCGCGCCCCGATGCATCCATCTCAAACACCGATTCTGGAATGGGAAGAGGTATTCCTCCCACGCTCATTCCCGTGATTTCCACGTAGTATAAAGTGTTTGAGTTAGGGTTCTTCAGCAACCGAGTCGTCACCGAGTGGCGGGGTAGGGGCGAGTTGAACTCAAGCGTAGACGTTTTGTCCGTGTCAAGATCTACCAAGCAATAAGAAAACGACGTCGCTTTGATTTGGGAAGTAAATGAGAGGGGCCCACCTCCGAGACCGAGTATTCCCGCGGCTGCTACGAACGAACCATGGTTGTCGTGGCCACAACCCATTGCGATCTGGTTTACTGTACCGATGTTGCCCAACGACATCGTTTCGGTGACGAGACTCCCTTTTGTGAATGAACCGTCTCCATACACGATGTCGTATTGGCATTGGTTGTTAAAGCAAGACGAGTTATTGAGTTGGTGGCACTGATCGGATTCGCAAGTAACCGGGACGTACGAGGATGACATGGACGGGTCGAAAATTGGGTCGAATTGTTTGTAACAATCGAGACAGGGCCTGCACTGAACCCAGCTGAGGTCGTTGCCCGTGTCGAGACCCACGTAGAAGGTTTGGGAAGGTTGTCCCACTCCGATTCTTGTGAAGTACTCGCCGCTTCCATATAAAACGCCGGATGTCACCGGCGGCGATTGGCCTTGCGGTCGGAGCTCCGTTTTGCTGACATGGCTGAGCTTGGAGCGGATATGAGTGACTCGGGCTGAGTCACGGGCGAGTCGAGTGAGGACTAAGCTACGGTAGTCCTTGTGATGAGCTTTGAAGAGAGAGTCTCTTGGGTGTAATTGGAGCGAGAATGAAGAAGAAGAAGAAGAAAATGGTTGGAATGTTTTGGGTTTGAAGGAGAGGATTTGGTGAGCTTGGTGGAGTGCTTCTGTGACGTTGAGAACAGAAATGGAGAACTGAGATGACGCAGCGTTAGCACGCGGAAGGGAGAAGAGAAGTGACACGGTGAGGAAAATGATTAATGATGAGTTGAGAATCAAAGCCATTGTTCTTTTTCTCTTTTTTTTTGGTCTGACAAAGAACAAGTGTGTGTGGCTGTGGATGTGTATGTGAAACGTTGGGCATGAAAGAGTTATAATAATGGGTGAGTTTCAGGGGTATTAGCTTCATTTATTAAGAAGAAAGAACAGGGCACGTTAGCCTTTAGCATTCTTTTATTTCTTTCCTGCACTGTATCTTCAACCATTAAATTAATAAGAAAAAAAAATTATATGAAAAGAAAAGCATACTTTAACTTCAGTTTAATTAGTTGGATCTGATTATAGCATTTGTGTGCATGCATGAAGAGATGGTAGTTAAGAAGGGGTTGAAAATGCGTCTTACTTTCTTCACCATTATGTTTTCAAAATTAATGTACACCTTTCAGTAACCTGATCATATATTTTAATTTACAGGTTTTAACTATTATTATTTTTTCTTTAAAGCATTTGTTTGATTAATAATAGTAATATACAATTATAATAGTTTTTGACGATAAAATTTGTAAGTCTTTGTTACGTAAGTATTTTAATATGCATGTTTGTACAAAATTTGCTGCTAATTAGACGTAGGTATTTATTGCTTCACTTAGTGGTATTTTTTCAATTCTGTTTCAAAGAATTTATGACTTTTATAAGAATTTTTATTTTATTTTAATAAAATATTTTGTATGATTTATTAAAATAAATTATTTGTAATTTATCTCAATAAATTTTATCACTAAATTAAGATATAAGTTTGTTAAAATAACTTATCAAATAAGTGTTTAAAAAAATAGTTATTCAAACATATCCTGAATACTGTATATAAACTTGAAGTTTGATGGAAAAAAGGTTAATAATTCTTATTTTAATAAGTTTTATTGTTAAATTTAAGATATAAGTTATATTTTAAAAATATCTTATTGAATATATTATTTAAACAATTAAATATTTAAATGCACTCTTACTGTTATATATAATGTTGGGTGGAAGGAAGGTTAGTAATATACCCAATTAAGGCTATTAGTTGTTTCCAAAGAATGAACCAGTCACAGGAAACGTGAAAAATATTGGACTTAAAGTAAAGTAATGTATGTTTGATAAATTTTATTTTAAAAGTTCAACATAAAGCATTATTATATATTTCTTTAACTAAATGATAAAATATATTTCCACTTTTAGTAAAAAATAAATAATTCAAGATCAAAATTTTAAGCTTATTACAATAAAGCAAGAAAATAATATAAAATCACTTTTTTAGTATATGATCTTGCTTGTGGGGAATTGATACACTCCCCATAAACCCTCACTCTTGCAATTAAGACCTTCTTTTGGTCCATTTGCAATTAATTCCGTAGGTGAAGTCTTTTCCCCGTATACGAAACCGGAAGCATATGTTAGGTTCTTTGCCTTTTTAGATAATAATACTTCACTGAGTCAGGCTGTACTTTCTTTGTTTTAGGCTTCTAACTTGTACAAAAATTGGCTTTGTTAGCGCACAAGATTTTAAATTATTAGACGCATTAAAAGAAAAGTGTATTATTATTTTTATTTATTAACACCTAATTCTTTAAAATATTTATTAATTATTATAAATTTATTTTTATGGTACTTTAAAAATTAAAATAATATTTTATGTTTTTTTATGTGTAATAATTATAACTGTTGATATTATATTAAATATATAGAAAATTGTTATTGTTAAATAAGTAGATGCCTCACTTTAAATTGAAGGTTAACTTTTTAACAGTGATTCTGTACTAAACTACTATAGAATAGTAGCTTTAAAATTGAAGAAATACCAGTGTGAAGGCCTAGTTTTCATCTTCTAATATAACTATCTTTTAAAATAATATATAGAATTATAATAAAAACAAAAACCTTATACTTAAGATTATTTTTTAAAAATTTAAACAGACGATACATGGGCACTGAATGTATCTGCAGATCCAGATGGCCCAACCCAAAATGTTACAAGATTTGATGAAATCCCAAAACTCGCCATCAATAGAAACCCGAAAAAGCCCTTCTTCTCTCGTCGTTCCTTCCCAAATACAAAGTTCGCTCTCTCCGCTCGTTGCACTCTCAAACTTGGAATCGAAACTCTCTCTCACCGAATCCACATTCTCTCCCCGTAACCCCAGTCATGTATGGCGGCGGTGAGTGTTCACTGAATCATCTATTTTCTTCCATTTCCACCCGACAAAGTTTTGTAATAATCTGATTTTCGTTTCCTTTGCATGCATCTTGTTTTTGTTCGCAATTCACAGACGAAGTATCAGCAATAGTGATTGACCTGGGTTCGCATACATGCAAAGCTGGTTACGCTGGAGAAGATGCGCCCAAGGCCGTGTTTCCCTCTGTGAGTGACTCTGTGACCTACTCGCCGTGTAAACATTTTCTGTTGTTATTTTCTTCGCGAAATCGAAATGTGCGTCTTTTTAGGTCTCCGCAACGGTTCTCTCACGTCAAGTTTACAAAATTGTAGCGCTCATTTTGTGTTTTTATAATTTTTAAAGAGTAAATCACTACTTTAGTCCTGGACAATTTCGTCTCTTGAAATATATCAGAACAAGTTAAAGTTAGTCTCTACATTTAGCCAACATTAGTAAAAACTAGCGAAATTATATATTTGACACAAGTTTAAACTTTACTCATAAATTCACACTAAGTGTGACTCCTAAGAGGGTAATTATAAAAGTTTACCTTCAAATTTACCCTTTCTCACAAAATCCTGGTGTGATCATATTCTCTATCATTTCACTGAATTCTCCTATGATGTCCATTGTTTAACCTTCAACACTGGTCCAATTGGCAGTTAAATTGACATTTAAAATGACTTTTGTTAAGTATTATTGACATTTCCTAACGACAGTGATAATGTGATATATTTTTCAACAACTTAGAGACTAAAATGAAATCTTTATTGACGGATGAAACTGAAAACGGTTTACAAAGTTCGGGACTAAAGTGGTAATTTACTCAATTTTTAAAATTTATTTTATTAATTTCTATTTGACATAGTTGGTGCTGACAGTGCTGTCGAAGGTCTCTCAAACCTTACATGCCACAGAGAGGATTTATAATTCTCGCATTGAATAAAATTGAGAGCTTGATGGGTTTTAAGGTTAACATCAGTTAGAAGGACTAATTTGTGGCAAAGTTGATAGATTTGACCATTTGGGGACTAAATTGTATGTAGGCAAACTTTCATTGACCAAATCAACATATATTGTAAATTTTGAAGGCAAAACTGTAATTTTACTCTTCTATATTTCTATTAGCTATATCTTTTCATTCTTTGTTTAGCAATTCCCTTTTATTTATTTATTTATTTTTTTATTATTATTATTGTCTTTAGTCAGTTATTACTCTTCTACTGCTGCTTGGTCTTAATGCAGTTGGATCATGGATGCATGTATAATATATTGTTTGCAAGGGATATTATTTGACATGTGTTTATTTAGGTTGTTGGTGCAATTGATCAAATGGACATTGATGGACCTGGTGATGCTGATGAGAACTCACGAGCCGGTGTGGATTTACAAAACAATGCCAAAAATCTTGATTCTGACAAAACCAAGGGGAAATGCAAACTTTATGTAGGATCTCAATCATTAGGATACCGCAGAGACTATATGGAGGTAACTCTTTGAAATATCTGCTAGGTTATGCTTTAGTTAATAATTTCAGTTTTTAAAAATAATTAGTTTTGATCATTTATTTCTGTTATGCTGATCAGGTACTGTCGCCATTAAAGAATGGAGTTGTTGTTGACTGGAATATTGTAGACAACATATGGGATCATGCTTTGAGGTTGTTGTTGATTACCTAATTTGTCTATAATATTCAATGTAGGATAGGATCATCATTTTATTTCTTATTCTTTTTTTTCTCTTGGATGGTAAGCTCGATTATCATTTTATTGATATAGTATGTGCAGTTGTCAATTGCTAGGGTTCTTACTTATTTGGAAGCTCGAGTCATGATGGTCCTTTATACATGCAATGGTCTAAAAAATTAATCAACTTTTGTATAGAGTATAAAGAGAATGCTCATGTGGTTGAGAATGATTATGTGTTGTTTATACTAGGACATACTCTTATGTTGTTTTGATGTCCCACATTGGTAAAGAGTAAGGCTTGAATATTCTTTATAAGGTTTAAACAAATCTCCTGTTTGAGTTAACTTTTAAGAGTTAAACTTTGTTTTAATCTCAATGCTAGGTTATTTACAAATATTTAGTCCTACAAACTGTGTTTTAGATGCCTAGTTTTGGGCATGAGTGAGGTGTGTTAAAATGTGTTACATAACTAGGAGTATGGCTGAATTACTCTTTATAAGGTTTGGGTGATTCTTTTCTTTTGAGCTATTTTTTGAGAGTGAGTTAAGTTTGTTCTGTTTCTAATATTGTATTAAACTTGCAAATATGGTTAAAGTTGAGCTTATAAAGGCTTTGACAAATCTCACTGCACGAGCTAGTCTTTCAGAGTGAGTTAGACTTGGTCCATATTTGAAATGATATTAGAACCTATCTAGTCTTAATGTTGGTTCATCCGTAGATGTTCAGTTCTACAAATTTTACACAACAAATGTTCAGTCTTAGGTATAAGAGATGTGTGTTTAGATGTTCTATATTGGTTAAGAGTATGGTCTAAATATTCTTTATACAATTTGGACAATCCTTTTCTTTTAATCTAACTTTTAGGAGTAAGTGAAACCCAATTTGTTTCTAATATATGCAAATCTCATTTTATGTTTAGTAATCCATGATGGCGAATTTTTGCTAATTTATCTATCTCTTTTCCTGCTTTATGCTACTATTCACTGGTTTTCAGGGAATGCCTACTAGTTGATCCGAAAGAGCGTCCAATGCTACTTGCTGAACCATGTTCCAACACTCAAGAACAGAGAGAAAGGTATTCTAACAATTATAACCCCCCCCCCCCCTTTTCCATTTTTCTCATTTAGTTTTTGGATGTTAGCCTTACACCATTTTATACAGTTATACAACATATTTCATGTTTAGTCATAGAGTTTGGTTCTTCAATATTTAGATTTCATATTTTTCTTTTTTTTTGGTGTCAGGACAGCAGAACTTATGTTTGAAAAATACAAAGTACCAGCATTGTTTTTGGCCAAGAATGCTGTAAGTCATATTTACATTACTGCTCTGTCCACATCTAACTTGCTAGTTGCAACATAAAAATTAGTGATAAAAATGTATTTTATATTGATGGTATGAAACCATTAATTTGTGAACTAGTTAATGAATGAGTATTTCTTGACACCAGGTTCTCTCATCTTTTGCATCAGGGCGTGCTACATCATTAGTTGTTGATAGGTATGAGACTTTGAAGTTGTTGACTAACAGTTTGGTTCTGTGGTGATATTAATGAGTGACACAATTGATGAATTGCTTACCTTATGAATATGGTTTGGAAGTTAGTGCTATATAATTGCCTTCTTTTTTCTTTCCAGCATGCAACTAAAATTTTGTTGTCACTTATCACTTTACTTTTTGATATTCTGTTAATTGATTGTAATTGATATGCCACAATATACTACTACTCTGCTGATAAGTAGTTTTGTACTGCTGTTCATTATTTGAAAACTCAGTGGTGGAGGATCAACCACAGTCGTACCAGTACTTGATGGTTATGTTCTTCAAAAGGTATTGCTTGCTATCCTGTCAAACAGAAATCATATATTAGATTACCTGGTCCATTTTTTAACCTTCTTTATTATAATAAGTTTGCTATTTATCATCTTTAAGACCCTGATTTTAATAGTTCCACTTTCTTTTGTATGCCTATTGTTCCAAAGACATGTTTCTTCATTAAAAATTACCACAGGTAGCTTATGGGTTCAAGTAAGTTATTGATATATTGCTCAAAGATATTTAATATGATGAGATAAACCATCTGATATTTTTTGCTGACTAAGAAAGAATACAGTAAAAGTAATGTGTAAAAATCTATGACGATAACTTGAACATTTCCTATTTCTATAACCACGATTACAATTCTTTTAGTATGTAAGAAAATTGTTAAATTTTGGATATTTAACTGCATGTAAAGAGAGTACAAATAGGACATTTTCAAAATTATCTAATCATTGATGACTGACTATATTTTTGTCCTTAACAATGATATCTCTCACTTCTTCAGGGTAATTGTTAATAGGGCCTCCTAATCATGGCAGTGCCTGAGGGATTATTATGAGGGCTAACCATTTAATTCAATGTTTACCCAAATATAAGTGTAACATAATTAAATTGTGAAAAAAAGAGTAACTAAAAATTTGTGGAAGGCACTAATGCAAGTTCCACGTTAGTGAGTTTGAAACATTGGTATGCTGGTTCCATTTAGTTTCATTTGACTCTATATATCAATATTAATGTTTCTTCATCTGTTCTGTGTTTGATGTCTTACATTCTCTTTCCTTGATATATAATTTAGATGGATTTTTATTATATTGCATTTGTAACCTTCTATTTTGTCTTTTAAGGTTTCTTCAACTTTGCTGTGTCTGCTTATGTCTTTGTTTATGCTTACAATAGGCTGTGATAACTTCTCCTATTGGAGGAGAATTTCTGACAGATTGCTTGATGAAAAGTTTGGAAGGCAAAGGTATCACAGTGAGTGACAAACATTAGCTATTTTCATTTTTTTTCAATGGTCATCTCAAGTAAAGTAGCTATATTTATATCTGCTTCTTTATTTTGTTATTGAAGATAAGACCTCGGTATTCATTCAAGAAAAAAGAAATACGGCCTGGAAATCTTCAGGTATCTTATGATTTCATTGTAATTTGCAACTACTTGCCAATAGTATGGTTTGCTTCTTATTTTGCTCAATCCTTAATGCTTTTTCACTTGAGTTTTTGAAGTTTGGAATGTTGGGGTGTCCACCGCGGAATGTTATATTCCACTGATGCCTCTAGTTGTTCAGCTTTGTGGTAGAACTATCATGACACGGAATAAGGATTTTATTTTTCTCATCTATGCAAGCCTGATGGTTCCTCTTGAACTTTATTGTTCAATTAGCTGTTCTAGTTTGATAAGAATGGCACTATTGATTGTGGTACATTGCTGCAATCATAAATGTTCATCCTGTTTGTTTGCTTATTAATATCTAATTCTATGGAATCACGAATTTTATTCAGTTTCATGCTGCTATGTTTATCATGATTTAAGTAATTACTGCAGTCAAATACACAAATGAAGTGTAATGTTTATTACCTCTTTTGCTTTTTTCTGAATCCCAGACTGTAAACCTTGATTTCCCTCATACAACTGAAAGCTACAAACTCTATTCCCAGGTCTGTATGTTGCCCAAAATTTCTTTTCATGTCATATCTCCTTTCCAATCTAACTGTTTATTGTGACAGAGGGTAATTGCTAGTGATATCAAGGAATGTGTTTGCCGAACTCCAGATGCTCCATATGATGGTTTGTATCACAGTTGTTATAATTTCATGAAATGCTGAGTCTTGTCGGTCTAGTTCGTTGTATTTATTGCAGGACATATACAGATAAAGACCTTAGGGTGGTATTCTTTATATATATGTTAGTTAATATGTTATACGTTAGGATCTTTGGTGTTAAAATATCATGCTTGAACATGTTATTCCATTCTTCAATAATTGATATCAACTGTAGTTCCATTATCAAATTATATCATAATGAGTGAAATTAGAATTTGTTTTGCTTATTTATGGGATTGATTAAATTCTAATAATTTATTTTTATAATGTATTAGGTTAATTCTTATTAAATAGAACACTGATTTGGTTGCTTGCAACTCTAGGGTTTAAATGGCTTTCACACTTGTTCTCTCACAAGCTATAAATATGTTGACTTGAATTGTCATGATTCCTTTGACATTATTTGCGGTCTCTAATCTCTATATTTTCATATAGATTAGCTCACTTGCTCATGATATTCCAATGTTTTGATGTAATGAGGACATTGGTTAAGGAAACAAAAGTAGAAAATATTTATTGAAAATGAGAACATTCATTATATCTAAAAACCAAATAATTAAATATTTTCTTTTCTAAGTAATTACAAGCATTTACTAGTGTGTATTAACCCCTATTTAACTAGTGTCTTTGGGGAACTATTTTTCTGGACCCATATTTTATAGCTCTATGATGCTTTTACCATCCTGCTTATATAGTTTATTAATTATTGGATTCCATATATGACATGATATCCATTATTCTGTTCCATGTCAGAGAGTTCATATTCTAACATTCCAATGACCCCATATGAGCTTCCTGATGGCCAGTGAGTCCAACGTTCTGTGTGTCTACAAATATCTTTTTTGATTTGAAGCTTACTTTCTTCTGGTTTACTTGTGATAATCATTTAACTTTTATATCATGGATAACACAGAATAATCGAAGTTGGATCCGACAGATTCAAGATTCCTGATATTCTTTTTAATCCATCATTGGTTCAGGTGCGATTTATTTTATTTTATTTTAGTTAGTCTGTTATAAAGAATTTGCTAATAACACACTTTTAGAAAAAAGATTGGCTGGAGGAATCATATAATATCAGATTGAATTTGGCTGAAAATTGAGGAACTGTCAGTTGGACATTTTTTTTCATGTGTGCTTGCATGTAATATTTTGGGGTAGGTGGGTAAATTAAATTGTGATAGCATTTTCATTTTAGCTATGCAAATGTCAGAAGTGCAAACTCAGTATACAGGAGGCATAAATAGAAATACCCCCTGAAGTCTAAAAAGGAGGGGAAATAGATCTGTATGATTAAACATTGGAAAATGCTGTAGCAGCCCTTAAAAAAAGAAAAGTAATAATACTTCAAATTAAATGGCAAGCATACAATCCAAAATGATTCTCTTTCCTATTTTCCAGAGAAATTCTCTTTACTTTTTAATAAATGATTATTCTGAGTTCTATAAGATCAGACGGGAAGTGTCGACCTCCCTACCTACTTTTATTTATCTCCTTCCATACTATTTATAACATTACTGCAGCATTATCTTATAGATGCTAGCTAGAGATATACATGAATAATACTGAATGTTCATAGAATAGATTAGTAATATACAAGGTTGTTAAACTTGAGACTTTAAGTAAACTCATAAAGTGCTCGTAAACTTGACTTGTAAACTCGTAAGAGTTTACCTCATGCAAAGAAAATATTAAAAAAATATCAATAATGAAGCAAAACATAATACCAAAATTTTAAACACTAAAATAGTTAATCATACAATGCCAATAATCACAGTCACTGCTAGTAAACAAACATCACTCACTTTAGCAAGAAACACAATTTACTCACTTGAATAATGTAGAATAGTGGAGTAATAAACAGGGAGGGTCAACAATGGTCATCAAAGGAACTCTCTGCTTTGCCCAGAGTCGTCCCTTTTAGAGAATCACTATTCAGAGGTTAAACATGGTCATCCTTACCGCTGCAAGAAGCTCTCTGTTTGCACAAAGTTGCTGGAGCCTGGTCGTCAATTGGCTGTTGCTAGAGCTCTCTATTCGTCCCTGTTTGCATGAGATGTCATAACACGAAGTCTGTTCGCTATAAGAAATCCTCGCTGCAAGTTTCTGTTCATTCCAAGAAATTGTCGATTGCTCGGGTTCATAGATGTCGTTGTTCTCTGTTTGCATCTTAGAGTTGGAGGTCAAACGATGATTCCGTATCAGTTCTTTGCAGGTTGGTTCAGAGCTTTCACTAGAAGAAAGTTAACCCTAAGAATAGGGTTGAAAGTCAGTTGTTTCAGTAGAAAAAGGGGGATTTTAAACTGAATAAGTGAAATTATGACAGTGAACTCTCGAGTTCATCCCAGTTTAACAATATGCAAGTTTACATGTGATACAACTCGTTTTGGTACTTAAACTTGTAAACTCATCCGATTTAACGAGTTAAAACAAGAGTTTAACAACAACGATAATAAATAAGATCCAGTTCTTTGTTTCCTTTTAACTTACCACTAAATTTATTTGTTCCCAAAATTCTGTTTATCAAAGCTACTATCATATTGGCACAAATTATAGTTCAAGGTTGTTAAATATAACTGGTGAATATTATTCTTTATCTGGATATTTACTGCGAGCAGTGTGCATTGAGCTTTGTTTAACATTTTAGGTGCCTAATTTAGGCTGATTATATTACTATCCATAGGGTTGGAAAGTCCAGTCTTGTTATGATTCGTAGGTGAAAACAATGTTTGGAGGAGTTGAAACATTTGAAGCTTGTTAATGGATAAAGAAGGTTTTTACCAATGGTCTTTAGTTATGTGATGTAAATTGTGGAACTCCTGGGACTATGACTTCAAAATATTTGTACAATAATATGTGGTTTTTTTTTAAATGTGTTCTGTGATTATACTGTTCAGTTCAGTCAAAATTCCTTAGTGTCCTGTTTTTCACTAGTTTTACTGTTTTAATGTGTATCACAGACAATCCCTGGCATGGAGAGTTTTGCAGAAATTTCTCCTTCAATTCGTGGTCTCCCTAAAATGGTATTTTTATTATTATTTAAAATGTTTTTTTAATATATATACTCAGACTTCAAATTTTATTGTCATTGCTCATAATTTTGCTGTTTCTTTTTGGTATGTGTAGATTATAGAGAGCATTAATAAGTGTGATGTGGACATTCGAAGAGAACTATTTAGTACCATAATGGTAACTTCAATTTTGATCTAGTGCTCGACCTCTCTCTCAACTCTCCTCTCCTCTCCCTGACTTTAAAGGTACTTGGACATATTTGAAACTGATCCTGTTTATCTCACAGCTTACTGGTGGTACAGCTTCAATGCAACAATTGAAGGAACGCATTGAGAAAGACTTGCTAGAGGTGAAATTTGCAGAGCCGCACTTATTTCATTCACTGAATGCCAATATTCTGGATAGCATAAATTTTATGGGTTGCTTCCCTTTTAAATATGCAATGTTTTGTACTCACGCTTCCTAATCTAATAAAATTTCCTTTTGCCACATACTATCAGCAGACACAATACACAGACTGAAGATTGTGGAAAACTTGATAAGCTTAGTAGATAATCAGTAATGGTATAGGCTAGTTAGGGCAAGGAGGCTGAAGTTTCTAGGTTGCATGTAGCCTTTCCTTTTATTTTTTTATTTTTTTTCCTATTCAAGATTTAGAGCATAAATCTCTCAACCTTGTGTTTGTGGGGGCATTATTTTGTTTTATTTTTGTGTGTAAAGTGGAGCACATTTATCAAATACTCTCGTCGATCAGTATGAGATGATATGTTTTTCACATGCCAGATATGTTTGAATAAAGTTTTTAGGTAGGAGGCCATTGTGTTCATATATATATATAAAATGGATTGATCTGTGATTTTTGTGTGTAGGAGTCCCCTCAAGCTGCTAGAGTAAAAGTATTTGCCAGTGGAAATGCGACTGAAAGAAGGTTCAGGTGGGATGTTCATTTCTGTGTGTGTGTGAAGTGCACATATCTATCTGTGATCATATTATGATGAGTTGATTCATGCTGCAACATCTTCTCCGGTTCTCCCTTTATTCAAATTATGCAACTTAATGTATCATGGTTTATATGCGAGAGCTTGCTCATTCATCAAGTAGATAGTGGCCTCTTAATATGGTAACTCTGTATGCAGTGTTTGGATAGGAGGCAGTATATTGGCTTCTCTTGGCTCCTTCCAGCAGATGTGGTTCTCCAAGTCTGAGTAAGTGTTAATTGATTGCAAGAAAACCCAATTATTCAAGTTCTCAACTTCATGAAAAATGATTTCGAAATTCTGAACTCAAGCAAATAATTTATTAATACAAAGCTATCTCACTTTGCTATTGATAGGTACGAAGAACAAGGTGCTTCTTATATCCAAAGAAAGTGCCCTTGAGTTTCTTGCCAATTGTTGAGATCCCGGCAGTTTCTGGAAGCCTGACGTTGAGCAGTAAATTATTGCCATATATCAAAGAATTGTCTCGTGTTCATGCCATTCTCTTTACGCTTTAGTGCTTTACTAGGCTGATGTAACTACTGTCTAGGCTAATATTGACAACCTGTTTATCTGTTGTTTTTAGGCTGATATAACTATACTGTAATTGGCACATTCTCATTTGATTATTCTACATCACCCTTCCATATAGTTTAATGAATGGAAATGGAGTTCAAGTTAAATTTCTATGAAGTCTGGATAGTCAGCTATTGACCTTGCACCATATTGTGTTTATGGGTGCCAATACAGTTGCCACTTAATGTTCGAGGCATATTTGGTGTACACTTCAAAACAAATCTGCATAGCGACGTACCTTAGTGTGGTTGAGGCATATGTAGTTGTTACAGCGTGAAAAAGCGTAGGATTCTGTCTGCATTACACACTATTAATATTGTCCCAACGAAATGTAAATGGGAGCCTAATGCTGACAACAAAAGAAGTCTTCCAGAATAGTGGTGGCTTGATGTGTATGTGCAAAAACACTTGAAATTTTCATGTTAACTTTGTTATCTTTTTTAATTGTGTGATTGTAATGAAAATATTAAAACGAATGGGAAAAAAAATCAGACGGGAAGATTTACAATTTTACACATTGGGACTCTACAATTTTTTTCTGCTGATCGATTAATCCTTCTAGGACTTGATATCAGGGTTTCTTGACATGGGAACTGCATGCCAGAGAAAATCCATGGATACTTGAAAATTGTGCCTATGAATTCTGTTTGAGCACTGACAGGTCTTATAAATCTAAGATCTAAAACATCAAACGTTCCGATATCAATCGATCCCGTGGTCTTTACTCATTTTCGGCTGATATAATACAAGAGCGGATTGAGCCCGTCTTAAGATTATACCCGACGTGTAAGAAAGAGAGAGCATTTGTTATTGAGGTGAATTAAAATTCCATTTAATTGTTACTTATAGATCTGATCATCTAGTTGAGTCAAATGGTGTGTATAATGTGTTTATAATAAAGAAATAATGACAAAACGCTGACCAGAAAATATTACAACTAACGAAAGTAGTCCATGTTTAAATCCAAGTATGGTTAAAGTAGGCCGCGATGGCACGAGTCGTTTTTTCTTAGTACCTGATTAGTAATTAAAAACAAGTATGGTTTACGAGCATGACCAATACGAAGGTATGAGCTATGTTGTTGCACCACCTAAAAAGAGCAGCAAGTACAATTGCAATTCTCATCAACATACCGTAGGTAATGGCGAAATGAAAATGAAGTGTTAATGTTTACACGGTGCTGATATGGAGGTGAAAATAAATGGAGGTTGTGTTGTAAAAGAAAATATGAAGAGCATGACTGCAGGAGATGGTAGGGACATTTTAAAAAATGGGATACATTTTCCACTTCTATCCGTTGTTTCTTTTTCTCTCTAATTGGAGAGAGAAAAATTGAAGTCCCTAGATTTTTTTCTTCATTCAACTGAGCGAGGAAGATTTAAATCCTCACATTTTTTTTATCTTTATTAAAAACATCTAAAGAATGTTTTTTTTTTTTTTTTACAACTTAAGTTTTTTCAAACTTATTATTGTAGCCCTATTAAAAGTTGTTTAAGAGGAAACACCCAACTGAATCTTAAAAAAAAAAAAAAAAACTCGACTCAATTTAATCACTATAAAAGATATTTATAAAATATTTTTTTGAATATTATAAACATGAGAGGTTTTAATCTTTTATCTGTTTCAATTATATTTTCAGTGATTAATTTGAATTATTAATAATATTTTCAAAGACTAAATTGATATACATTCAAGATTTTAGAGACTAAATATATATTAAAATAAAATAAAAATAATTTTAAAGGATTATTATATAAGGGACGAATCTAGATCAAATATTTTGTTTTCGGTGTTTACTCCTTATTTAAAGACAGAAAGGAAAAAGAAACGGTTAGGATTAAAGCGACAGAAAGTCATTGGGATCAGATAACGAATTGTGGCGCTAAACTTGGCGTTTCCTTGTTCATTCAAAGTGAGGAAGCAAAGGGGAGAGAGAGAGAGAGAGAGAGAGAGAGAGTAATGGCCTCCAACACTTGTTCGTCCTGGCTCCTAGTCTCATCCTCCAACGCCAAACGCCGTGCCTTCTCCTTGGTCCCAACCTGCTTCAAACTCACTGCTTCACAGACTCAATGGCATTCAAATTCTTATACTCGCAGAAACGGCTTCCCCGTAATCAAACGCCATTGGGTTGAAGCAACTGATGAATCGTTTGCATCTCCAGGTAAGTCAATAATTCTTTCTCTCTTCACATTAACATTTTTCATGTAATCAATAGGTTTATTATGTTATGTTCCAGAAAGATTCACCGTGGCTTCATACAACATACTTGGGGATAGAAACGCTTCTCAACACACAGATTTATACGTAAACGTCCCTTCACGTTACGTCAACTGGGATCGCCGCAAAAGGGTTATCTGTGATGAACTCTTTGGATGGAACCCTGATATTATCTGTTTACAAGTAACCTTGTTACAACTTTGATCCCATTAGATTCATTGCAGTAAGAGCTCTAATTCTTACTTGAAATGAAATGTTCTGAATGGTTTTGTCAGGAGGTTGACAAGTATCTTGAACTCTCTGACATTTTGGTTAAAGCTGGATACGCTGGATTTTATAAGGTGTGTTTTTTAGTAAACCCTTAATCAATCATGGAAATTTTATACGTCCACCATTTTAGTTTTGATGTCGTTCATTTTATTTTATTTTCATGGTCATTTTATGCTTAGAAAAAGAACTAAAGTAAATTTCACTTTGTAAAGTTTAGGGATAATAAAGAGTTTTTAAATTTAGGTAGTAAAATATCTGATCCATACGATCTCAAGTATTAATATGAAAAGTTTAGTCATGTATTTTGATTTCCTTCAATTTCTGATTTTTACTTTGGCTTTGTCTATTAAATGCCTTATATCTTCTTGTTCAACTTTTGGTTTACTAAAAAAATATAAAATTAGATAAATATATTAGTTGATTTGATCTGCGTAAATATTGTTAAACGTGCTGATGTATTTCCATTACTGTGAAATTTGTGATTATCTTGTCCACGGTAGTACAACACCACGATGTATAGGTGTACGACTATTGAGTACCTAATGAATTGTGTAAATGGAGCTGTAGAGACGCACTGGGGATTCAGTTGACGGTTGTGCAATGTTTTGGAAAGCTGATAAGTAATTTATTAATTGCTTACTTTTCTTGTTAAGATAAAAATTGATTGATATATAATCTATTCACTTTGATTAATCTTTTTTGTCTGTCCGTTTGTCTATCAGGTTGCGGTTATTAGAAGGAGAGAGCATTCAATTTAAGGACATTGGCCTTCGTGATAATGTTGCTCAACTTTCAGTTTTTGAGGTATCAATTCTTTTATGTCAGCTAATTTCTTTAGGATATTTTTAGGGAAGAGAAGTTTCAGAAGATAAAGGAGGATATAAATTTAGATTTTAAATAAATATATTTAAAATTAATATTTTTTAAAAACAAAAATATAAATTAATATATTAATAAAAATTTAATATATTAGTAATATATTTGATATCATAAATAATATATAATTTTTTTAATTTCAAATTAAAAAATATATCCTTTCTGTTTTCCCTCGAAAAACTTCCTTCCAAACGCACCTTTAATGATATACTATTTCTATGTTCTTGTGAATTGCAACTTCGCTTATGTTCTTGTGTTCTATTTCTATTTATATTTCAAAGAATTACGTGAGCCTCTTGTTTGGTTGCATCAGAAGCCACATCAGATTGAACATTATCAACGTTGAAAATTCTGTACCCACACCAAACAATTGGAAGCAAATATTGGAGAATACCCTAAAGCAAGCAACTGCCGGATTTGCTCTTAAATTTTAAGTTTCATAATTTCTTCATATAGGAGGGCGGCGAGGCCCCACAAATTTTAATTTGATGCTTGCTCTCTCCTTAAAGCAAGCCTGGGTCCAGGATGTGAAATATAAAGTTTCCATCCCAATCGATGTTTATTATCCGGGATGGGTGAGTGTCTCTGGGGTATATGGACTGTTGATGATTTATCAATATTACTGCATTGCATGGAAAATCAGTGTTGATTATATGGTTGAGATATTGATTTTCAGTGTTGTTGTAGGAATATTTATTAAACATAATAGTCCTTATAGTGAGTGCCTTGGCACTGGATGATGCCTCCTGGTCCTTGGCCACTTCTTGCTTTTTATTACGTGATCTCTTACATTAGCTTAAACGTAAGCAGTAGCTATCCTTTATTGCCTTAGTGTTGTTGCTTACTATTGTAATATTGATCTACGGTATATCCAATTAGTCATCCTTTGCATTTCTAACTTCGTATTGTGCAGGCAGATGTGTGAATCTGAGTCAAGAAGACTGTTGGTTGGTAACATCCACGTACTTTACAACCTAAACAAGGGAGAAGTTAAACTAGGTCAAGTACGTGTTTTATCCACCCCCCCCAAATAAAAAATTACGTTAGAACAGTTGAGTCAGATTCACTTTGCTTTCCTTGAACTTGCACTCTCTGAATAATAGAAATGTTCAATACTTTATTTCAGATTCGTTTTCTCACATCGAGAGCACAGACCCTCTCAGAGAAATGGGGTAATACCCCTGTTGTGCTAGCTGGTGATTTTAATAGAACACCTCAGGTGCCATATTCCAGAAAACAGATAGAAGTTTGTCATTTACTATGTGATCTTTATTTATGACATATTGATTTCTCTTTATAATCATTCATCAACAGAGTGGAATATACAAGTTCTTGTCATCATCTGAGGTGAATTACGTTGAAATCTCACATTCACATCAACATATTGTTCATTCTATGAATCCAAGCAAGTAGTTTATATTAAAGATGCTTACTTGAAGTTGGGTATGGTTTGCATTTGCAGCTTAATATCATGCTGTATGACAGAAAGGAATTATCTGGACAGAAACGCTGTCGCCCTGCTCAAGTTTTAGGCGAGAATAAAGAAACTGTTGGTCCATTAGTATTATTGGATGGGTACTTTTCAATTTTATTTTTTTTTGTGGTTATTTATATATCATAAGCTACGATGCAGGTGTGCATGTGTAGTTTATGTAGTAGAAAATTATTGTTTGATATCGGTCATCACATATTTAAGGTGACAGTGTACGAGTGTAATGACCCGAGTTTGATTACATTTTTGAGGCGAGGTAGTTTTGCATTTTCATCATTTATAATTATAACTATAAACTCCAGTCTTGCATCTTTTTTGTGTGTATGTGTTCTACATTGGTGTTTGGAAAACTATTTTCATCCTTTTAAATTTCTGTTCACTTCTAATATTTGTATAAGGATATTTTATTTCCCCTGAAGCTTTCTATGAGAGAAAGTGCCTAGATCTTTATATATATATATATTGATTTTTCTAAAATTAAAATTTATACATGAATGCCCTTTCATGAATATGGAACACTGTTGCATGTGAGATCAACATTTTCATAGCAGATTTAGTGTGCTATAAATGCTAACATTTTATGATCTTCAATTGTGCAGTCACTTTCTTCTCTTCTGCTATTAGCTACTTACTTTTTATTAATTAAAGAAGTCATCTTGTTGAAATATTTTACGCTAGTGTTATCTACTCAGTATGATGCTTTCAAGCTGATGTTTCCAGATTGTTTAAGTGCTGGACAGATGAAGAGGTAAAAATTGCAACGGGTGATTCTGAGCGTCATTTGGCTGTGCATCCATTGAAGCTGAATAGTTCGTACGCCACTGTTAATGTACCTAGTCATTCTTTTGCAACCTATTATTACCATATATAATTTTCCATATTTATTCCCCTTGGCCCGTGCCAATAGAATAATAAAATGGGAAATTTTTTCAGGGTTCAACTAATACACGGGGATTCAGTGGTGAACCTTTGGCAACTTCCTATCACTCAAAGTTTCTTGGTACTGTAGATTACTTATGGTAATCAATGCCTGCGCTAAACTCTGCTAAAGATATTGTGAAAAATATGCTGGTTTGATGGTCTTAATTATTGCAATTGCCGAACTATAAGACTGATTGCACTTGATGCAGGTACTCTGACGGGATTGTACCTACAAGAGTTCTTGATACCGTTCCAATAAGTGATCTCGTGAGGGCAGGTGGCCTCCCATGCAAGGTATTACTGCTTGACTTTTGCTACTCAGTGCCAAATTAAGTTAAAATTCTTGAAGCGTATATTGCCTAAATGATTCAGCATGCACTAGGAAGGGATTATGGAGGTTTTCAGATTGTAATGGAAAACTAACAACATTGTTAGTAAATGTAACAAGATTTTTGGACCGCCCAAATGTTTAGCGGCTCAAGAAAATTTATCTTTGTGGACTTCAAACCCACCCACCTGCAGCCCACAAAACAAAATATTAGGATTGAAGGTTGAATTTTTAATGTGCTGCCTGGAATTGGATAAATATAATGATGATGTCTTGACACTAGTATGTGATATGGCCAACATTTGTGATATGTTGATGCTTTCACGTTGATCATGCTTTAGGCATTGGTATAGTCTTATCGTTTATACAGATTTAATGTTTCTTTTTAAAGCATAGCGATCTTGATTGACCTGCTTTTGAATAGAAATAGGTGTAATAGAGCTTAGCATTTCACAAGGATCGTTAGTCCGACTACGTTGTTTATTGTGCACTCTTTTTTAACCGAGAATTTAAATGTCTAAACATAATTTTCCCAATCTAACTAGTCTTTTTTCTTGCTCAATAGAAAGTGGGAAGCGACCATTTGGCCTTGGTTTCTGAATTTTCCTTCTCGGATACCAACAATAAACCTACAGACATGGTTGCAGCAGCATCATCGCCTCAAGTAAATATTGAAGAGTTTGACAATCTGCAGCCATAAGAAAACAGCTCAGCAGTTGTGTTTAGATACATATTTTTCGCTTTCCTACTTACAATGGCTTTAATGATTTACTTAGCTTAGCTCAAGTTAATTGAATTTGTAATTTAGATAAAGATTGAATTTCAAGTCATTTCTCAACGTACCACAAGAAAACAAATCACAAGTGCAACGAAACATCCTAATAGAAATTTAATTAATGCCTTATTGGTCACGATGACTTCCCTCAGCCGATGTTTTAGAAAATTTTCATTTGATTTCTCCAACATGCCTTCTGCATCTTTTATAGTTATAAACATCAAAGGAGAAAATATCCGAAAGTCATAACCAATGAGACAATGCTCTTTAAATTGCCTAGCTAAATTTTAACTGGTTTATCTTATGGATGATTAATTTTTACCCGAGCCAGATCAGTTGTTTCCCAGCTTCATAATTAACGTTTGAGCATGCATTAGCAATACATGAAGCTAGTATGCTAAATAATAGATCGCATCAGTAAAATAAGAAATTAAATAAGATGGCATTTTGTAGTTATCAGTTGAATTAGAAAATCTAAACAAAGATATTTCTCAAATTAAAGTTCTAAAACTATCTCAAAATGACTAAGCATCTCAGTATTGTGAATTCGGTAGTCGGTTCCCAGTCTTTATATGTCAATGTGATTGAGATGTTGTCAAAGGACCATCATGCTCAGGACACTTATTCGAAAGATAAGGGACAAACTCAAGTGATTGTCTGTATTGATGCGGATTGAGTTGGGTCTTGTTATGAGAATGTATCTATTTCAGGGATCATGTAATAGTAAGAAGTAGAATGTTGTCGAGTGCTGAAGCTAGCTATGTAATGGCTTCAAAAACACGTGACCATAGCTAAAATTGCTTCAAGAATCAAAGGCTAGAGAAAAAGCGAATGAAGCTGATTTTATTTGCTTTATTTTAATAAATTTTATCATTAAATTTATGACAAATTATTATTTAAAAAATAAAAGTTCTAAGGATTTTGCACTCTTTTTCTCTTTCTATTTTGAAACCCTCTACTAGGGGTGTCGAGAAAACTCTTTTTTTGAGGCTGCATAGTCAAGTAGCATTTTATACAGCAACTAATCCAAATTTTTGCGACAGAACCAAATGCGGATACCGATTGCCATTTCATCAAAGTGATTCTTCTATCAAGGTTCTTCAACATTACTATATTGGATTTGTCATCTAAATAGCAGCTACGTAAACATGATATACCTGAATTATGCTGAAGAAGAGATACTACTGAAAAACGCATTCAAGCAGGACAACACTACTCTTACAAATCTGAGATATATAGATCAAGTTTCATGTAAATTTCAGACTAAATTCCTGTGGAGTCATCACATGCAAATTTCCTCTCTTTTCTAATAAAAAAAATTATATGTTAGACACAAAGGAAGAAGATCAGGAACAACTCTCAAACGGAAAGAAAAATTTTGAGTATAAAGAAAAAAGATGAAAAAATCAGTTCAGAAAGATCTCATACTTTCTAGTTCTGTTGCATATCTTACAAAACAACTTCCCTGATAGAAACATAAGCTGAACTGTACAAAGAGGCAAGAAAAACAAGCTTATCTTAAATAAGATATGCATGTAAAACCCTCTGGCTAGCATTCCCTTCAATCCAAAATGCCAAATACAAACCATTCCACCTAAAAGGGCATAATTTCACAGGACCTAACACAAACCTCAAAAATGAAAGAAGAATTCTTGTAGTTCTAAAAAATCCAAAATTTCATTTACTCCACAATGCTAAAGAAACAAGTCCATCAAATAAGGCAATTTCCCCCATTCAACGAGACTGTACTTGCCACATAATTTACAGCTTGAAATGAGTGCCGAACCGCACATCCTTTAATCATGACATCCTTAAATTCTTGAGTATCAACATTATAGGACTTTATCTTTCCACAAGACATTTCCATAAGAAGCTCATTACCCTTCCAGAAAACTAACAGTTTAGGATCTTCTGTTAGATGTTTTATAGTTTGCATTCGAGTCCAAGAACCCTCAGCACCGGATCCATCCATCACCCATATGTCTATAGACGGAGTGGGATCATCAAAGGCCCAGCATATGAGTGAGATGGAGTCATTCCACACAGCTAGAGACCTACCATCAGGTTCACTAATGTCTACGTGGGGTGGCATTGGCACCCTTTGGAAAACCCCATCTTCCATATCCAAAGCTAAGACTAATGAGCACTTGTCTTCACGGCTAAAAGCCCACCAATAATAAGTTCTTTTAAAGCACATTGCAAAACAGTCAAAACCGAAAAGAAAATTCTCAGCTTTAGTATCATGCAGCATGGTCCATGAATCAGTACTTAAAGCATATTCCTCAACCCAATTGGTACAAAACATATCACCATTACCATGTGTATCCACTTTCCAAATCCTTATAACCTTGTAATCATCAGTAAACGAATCATACCCCATTCCAACAGCTAAAGCTAATGAATAAGGTTTCAACCTCATAGTAGTATCAGGAAGACATCTAAACTCTCTTGTTGCAGGGTTATACAAAAGAACTTCCTTGCTGCGTGGCCAATAGTTGATAGACAAACACAAGATACCATTACAGTGACCACAAATTTGGAACTTTGTTGAAAGCATGTTGAATTTAGGAACAAAGGTTTCAACAGCTGAAAACTCATCATGCGTGGCAGAAATGGAAAAAAGTTTATAGTTTTCTAAGCCATCACCAAGTATTGTAGGGAAGGAAACCCTGAGAAACACGCTATGGCCAGAGTTGTGGTTTTTGACAAAGTTTGAAAGGTGGCGAGACAAGAATAAAGGGTCATGGAAAAGAGCATACCAGTGCTTGCGGACACACTTGAAACGCATTAAGGATTTGTATGGTATTCTGCTAAGGATGTCTTCCAGCAACTCTTGAGGTAGGTTTGGAACAGTCTCCATCACTTACTCTGTTCTTCTCCTTTTGTTTTCTTTTTCTTTCAAAAACAATGTCTTCAGTCACCAAATAGTACGGTTTTGCATCCCTCATCCAAAGATTTGGAGATGTACCCACAGCGTTGACTTGACTTCAATGCTTTCATATATTTTTAATGAAATTTTCAAACGTGCTCTAAAAATATACAATAAAAAATTTTATATAATATTTTTGTTAAAATATAATGGTATTATAAAGTTTTATATTTCTATTTCTTATTATTATTTATTTATTATCATCATACTTATTATATTTCCTATTTTAGTAAATCTTATTTCATATTTTTTTTAAAAGGAAAAAGTGTAAATTTTTCTTTTAAATAATAAGATACGGAAAAAATCCAAACCTTTTTATCCTTGAAAGAAATTTGTTAGGTGATTTAATAATTTTTAGTGCATCATAAGAATCTTAGCTGAAAATTAGATTATAATTTTTTATTTTAATTACAAACAAATTAATATTATGCAATGTTATATTAAATTTATTTTAAACTATATATATATGTTTTAAAAATACATTCAAAAGATTAAAAATATTCTCAAATAATACACAAAGCATCATTTAAATTATATATTTAAACATTTTCAATCTGTATAAAATTATGGATAATAAATTTTATATATAATAATTTTTATTAAAAACAATTTAATACACTAATATTATTATTTTCTAATAAAATTTATTACTTTTAATTTTTTATTATATATTATTTTATACAATTTTCAACATCCAAGTCCATAGGATAGGTAATTAAAGTTTGATTTTATTTTTATTTGTGTACTGTTATACTCATATAATATTTAATAATATTAATATATTAAAATTTATAATTTAAAACAATATTATATAAATTTTATTACCTGTAACGTTTAAATTTAAAAAAATTGTTAACATTATCGTCTTTATCCAAGTTTTACAGCGTGGAGGTTTTGCAAATCTGTTGCGTGGCGTGGCACAAAGAAAGAGGCATGGCAAAAGTCATCGCTCGCATACGCAACGTGTAAGGGTTATGAATCTAAGAGTAAGAAAAAAGAGACACGAAGCACACAATCCTAATCACAGCCGTCCACGTGGAATCAGACATCGGCATCCACCGACTTAACCCTTCTTCTCCTTCTATGTTTCCCTCGCAAGGCAAGAATAATGGAATGGAATCCAATCAGTCTTCTTTCACTTTCATCCCTTTTTCTTTTCCTCTCATTGCCCGTTCCACATTTCAGAATTAAATTAATATAAACCTCAATTTCCTCATATTTTCAATTTTATCGATTTCGCACCGTTTGTTGATTCTAAAACCCGAATTTGATAATGCAACGTTTTGTTGACGACGTCCTCGCTGTTACTAAAGAGTAAGCCCCTTTTATTTGTTTGATTCAATTAAATTTTATTTAAGTCTTTTACCAAATTATGATTCGTTTTCTGGAACGCATTTGTTAGCTTGGCTTAGTTTCTGCATGTCACCATTGCGTAGACAGTATTGCTGGCAATGTTGATTCTGCAATCTTAATGCTTTTCCTTGGGATTCAGTGCCCTTGTTATTGGCTTTGTCAATTCAATTGCATTGCTATACGAGGCCTGAGCCTGTGCATTTGCATTTGGATTTTGGTGCAGGTCGGTGAAGACGTTTACTTACGAGTCCTTGAACAATATTGTGAGGTTGATCAATGGTGTTTCCGCTCTTCTGTTGACACTGCTTCCTGGGAAAGCTACTATACTTGAAGGTATTCAGGGTTGGGAGCTAAGGCCAACTTTTCGTGGACCACGGTTCCCACGTTGGATGGAAAAGTAAGTTTCATTTTCAATACGGTGTTGTTGAATGTCTTGGTGAACTCTTTCTTTTATCATATAAGAAATAGATGTGTTCAGTGTTTTTCTGTTGATATATTATGTATATGTGTATTTGTCATCATGTCTACCTCTTTTTGTAAAATTGTTCGTAATTTTCATTCTATTAGATTTGGGATGGGCCTCGTTAATCTTGTATGCTGTACTTTGACATTGCTTTCCTTTTTCTAGTGGTGTGTCCTCTTTCAACCAGTTTATTCATGAGCTTTCTGTGGATTCTGATGTATCGAGCCTGGAATACTCATCTGGAGAAGAAGACCGTGATGGGTATGAAGAATATCCTGAATCTCCCTCATCTCAAAGTTCTAGAGTCTCGAGGGCTAGTTTTACTGATTATGATAGGGAACAGGTGGATTGGATTCAGTATATCTTACTTTGGATTTTGGTTCCTATAAAGCTTTTGCTGGGGATTCCATTTCGTCTTTTCCAATTAGCTTGTTCCGGGTGGTCAAAACCATTGTCTATCTCTGGAAGTCAACACCCTACACAATCACATTCACATAATCGAGTGCAAAGCCTCAAGGACCAAATTATCCATCGTACTACTGATAGGAGACGTGGGGTCATAGAGGTTGTGCAACAATTTCTATCATTATTAATTTGTGTCGTGATTTATTGGCTATTTATTTATAGTTTTGTAGACAAATCTAATGTGCATGTAACTTTATGTTTTTTGGTATTTTTCCCCCCTATCAGGATCTCCATTTGGCCATGGAGATATTTATAGAAGCTGTGTTTGATGTTGTTCACAAGGCAGCACATCTTCTTCTTTCCCCATCAGAAGCTTTGGGAACATTATTCAGGTTGTTTTCATCTCATGAAAGAGGTGTTGTTGAGGATAACGATGTTTTTGAGGATGCCTCCATCTCTACAGCTACACTTGGAGAGAATGACCCAACACCTACGGCGAGGAATACCAATTTTCGTCAGTCTTTGAACACGGATGCCAGGACATGTCAAGATGTCATAACAGAGCTTGGGTAAAGGCTATTGTGCTACCTTTACATTTATTTTTATTTTCATGTTGAACTGTTTCTTGTCCAATTCATGATTTGTCTTGCTACCTCTGACAGGTATCCATATGAAGCTATTCATGTGATCACTACCGATGGATATGTTCTTCTTTTGGAAAGAATACCTAGGTAAATTAGACATTTTTAAGGAAATCGTATGGACCTCCATAAATGTAAAAATCTATGATCTCTATCGTCTTTGATTTGTGAACTTGCTGTGAATCTGTCTTCCAAAGTTAATTAAATGCACTACATCTGATTATCCAGGGCAAATCACTACAGAAATGTAGACATACAACGCATGATACTAATTGACTTTGACTTTTTTTTTATCTCTCAACTTTTTTATTGTTGTATGGAATGAATTACATCTGATATTTGAAATGAAACTATTATGTTTGATATGACTCTTTCTGGTAGTCATATTTCTTTTCAAACTAAGGTTGTGGCTCTTTCCTGACAAAAGTGTAGCACTAACGGGCATCAGGACTGCTAAATATCATGTTTAGAGGCGGAGAGATTTGTGAAGACTGTACACGATGTTTTCATTCATGATATATTTAATTATCATAAATGGATAACAATGTAGGAAGAATAGACAATAAGGAGACTGTATGATTGTTATTGCTTTGTGTACCGTCTAATGCCTGTAATTTGACTTCAGGCGAGATGCACGTAAAGCTGTTTATCTTCAGCATGGAGTTTTGGATTCGTCCATGGGGTGAGTAATATTGTCCCTATCTTGATTGGTTTGGATTTTATTTGTAGAATATTTCTTATATGTGAAGTAGGAAGATTTATATAGTAGGTTGGGTAAATTTTTTGTTGCTTCAAGAGCATTTTTTTTTTTTTTCAAGTCACCAGAAGCATGAATCCTTTTATTGCGATGGTAATTTAAAATATCTTTGTGCTGACATAAGCAACTTCATCAGGTTCTACTGACTTTGTCTTGACAACTCTGGGTCTCTCTCTCTCTCTCTGTGTGTGTGTGTGTGTATTGGCGGATTTGTGAGTTGTGTTGTGATCTCGTCATGACATATAAGGACTGATGAGATTTACTGTTTCGATTTAAAGTGCTTTCTCTGTTTTGTCCATTTTTTTCTTTTGTTTCTGTTGCTTGGATGCCATGAGATTAGGACAATAATGGTAGTCTAGTTACTTCCAACTTTTTTGGTTCAGATGGGTATCTAATGGTGTTGTCGGATCTCCAGCTTTTGCAGCCTATGATCAAGGTTTGTTACATCTATCAAGATGGTATGTGCGCTTCAAGAAAGTATCAGTTTTTAGAAATTATTACATGTAAGTTTGTTTTATTTTCAGGGTATGATGTATTTCTGGGAAACTTTCGTGGTTTGGTTTCTAGGGAACATGTCAACAAGAACATCTCCTCACGTGAGTAAGTTCACAAAGCACAACTGGTTGATTTGTCTTTTGATGTATGATACAGTCTGGTTCACGCTTTTTATTTGTGACATTAATGATGATATTATTATGAAATTGATGAAACTCAGATACTGGCAGTACTCCATTAATGAACATGGAACTGAGGATATTCCTACTATGATAGAGAAAATCCATCAAGTAAAAACTGCTGAGCTGAGGCTTAGTAATCCTAATATTGAGGAGGAACTTAATGATGATCAGCTTTACAAGCTTGGTGCAATTTGTCATAGTTTGGGAGGAGCTGCTATGTTGATGTACATTATTACGCGGAGGATAGAAGCGAAACCCCATAGACTTTCAAGATTGATTTTGCTATCACCTGCTGGTTTTCACCATGACTCTAACCTAGTTTTTTCTGTGGTGGAGCATGTAGTATTTTTTATGGCTCCTATTTTATCTCGTGTGTTCCCAGCCTTCTATATCCCAACCAGATTTTTCCGTATGCTTGTTAACAAGTTAGCTCGGGACCTGCAAAACCTACCTGCAGTTGGAGGATTGGTTCAAACTTTAGTAGGTTATGTTGTTGGTGGAGACAGCTCAAATTGGGTTGGAGTTCTAGGATTACCACATTACAACATGAATGACATGCCAGGAGTATCTTTTGGTGTTGCTTTCCATCTTGCACAGATAAAGCGTACTAGAAGATTTAGAATGTTTGATTATGGGAGTGTATCTGTTAATATGGAAGTGTATGGTTCCCCTGAGCCTTTGGACTTGGGTGAACACTACGGGCTTATCAACATTCCTGTTGATCTAGTTGCAGGTCAGAAAGACACAGTGATACGATCTTCAATGGTAAAGAGACACTATAAATTGATGAAGGATGCTGGCGTGGATGTGTCATATAATGAGTTCGAATATGCTCACTTGGACTTTACCTTCTCCCACCATGAAGAACTTTTGTCATATGTTATGTCACGTTTGCTGCTTGTGGAGCCCAATTCAAAGCATCAAGCAAATCAAAGAGCTGTAAGATCGAGGAAGAAAGGACAGGTTTCAGTGAGTTGGTAGACTACGAGATAATCTATACCGTATCATTTCCTTCTGGTGTATTTTTGCTGCGTGTCATACACTGCCGGATGGAGCTGTACATACCTGTCTGATTACATAACTGCTCTAAACATGCGCCATCTCTTTCTTCAAATCTGCTGTCCGTCTTTTCCTTTTGGAAAAAAAAAAAAAGAGTTCAAATGTTGGAATACATTGTAAAATAGTGTTAACTCCGATAGAGAGGAAAACAAGGCCGTCAGAGAAAATAGTTTTGTTGTTGTGTGTAAGTAGTAAATCAATAGACCTTTGTGGAAATTAGTGGTGATTTCCTGAGGTTCACAAATTGGGGAGTAATACTTCAACTATGATGTCCTTGTCCCTCTCGTTATAGTTATGATCCAAACACAACAAAATATGTACCACTACCAAGTTACTTGCATCATAAGCAACTCGAAGTATAGGGGCTAGTCCCCTACGCTGAAGATTCATTTGGAGCGGAGGTTACATTTGACAATCGATGAAGGTTTTCTTCCTCACACAAATATGATTATCTGAATCTTTATCTTTGTGTGGTACAGCATATATAATTAATATCGACATTGGGTCCAAGGAAGAGATCTAGCATGTTAGTGCTGACTGTAATCCTCCAATTCACTTGTGGATCCTGTAGCAGTTCTTTCTGCTTTGCACGAGTAAATCGCAGTGCAACTAAGTTCAGCTTTTGTAATTTATCAGTTATGCAAAATGAGTGTGTATTAGAAAGGTACTGGATAGTCTTCTTGTGTATCTTGATTTCCAAATGACAGAAAAAAAAGGTGAAACAATTTAATGAATATATCTCTCACCCCTTATGAAGCTGTTTAGATTGTTGGTTAATTTTGCACACTGAACAAAGATTTAACTGCTGCATATTTTGTGTGTATTTTAAATTTTTTTTAAAAAACCTTATATTAATTAAATGAGAAACAAACCCCTCCAATAGCATGCAAATCTATACTTTACTTATAGTTAGTTCTTTATCCTTATCCGAAGTAATTACTCATCTAAGACTTATTATGTTGAACTTCACTAACAATAATTCGATATGCTATTTATTAATCCACATATTAACACTTAAATAATTGTCAATCTTTCAAATCTCATGCTCGGGAGATTCATTAGACCTCGCATTTTTACACTTTATAAAAAATTATGTTAAATTTTTATATACAATCTTACTCATTCAAAATATTTGTTCTTCTAACTAACTCAGTCATAAATACAAGGACAGTCAGTTACCCGAATGACAATAAGCCATGAATGAAAAGATTCAAACTTGAAATTAAATCACATATGACTCTCTGCATCTACCGCCTAATAAGCAGTACATTACATTGACTGTAAATAGATCTCTGAAGTCAAATACAAATAAGATAACATCATTACCGTTGATAGATATAAGGCACGATTAATTGCTACTTAACGGTGAATTTTTCAGGTATGTTTTCTCATGTAGCAAAATTAACTTTAGTTAAGAGTTATGCTCATTGTTGTGGTGGTACATAGCTAGTGTTTGTTAAGATTGGATATTAACAATGCTTTTTTAAATGGGAATTTCTTTGAATAAGTGTACATGAACTTACTTTTAAGCTATAAAACTGAAGACAAGAAACTTGTTTATAAGTTGAACAAGTTCTTGTATGGATTTAAACAAGTTTCTTGCTAATAATTTTTTAAGTCTTTTAGTACCTTGCTCAATCATGGTTTCAAACAATCAAAGTGACTATTTTCTATTGTCGTCCTCAGTTATTTTGTTAGTATATGTTAATCATATACTCTTGTTATTTTATTTTTGCAACAAGTTTAAAAAGCCCAACAATTGCTTCAGTTTCTTTTCAAACTCAAGACCTTAGGCAACTTGAAATATTTCCTTAGCTTGAAAATTGTTAAGTCGAGCAAAGGAATGTTTTCATCCTAGTGGAAATACACTTTAACTTTATTAGCAATATAGCATATGTGGAATTTTTAGCTTGCAAGTTTTTCTCACTACTAATGGATCTCAAGTTAAACTCTATTAATGGTAATCTTATATCAAATCCTTCTGAATATAGGAGATTGATTGAAAGACTCCTATATCTTACTATTTTTAAACATGACATTAGTTATTTTTGTTCACGAGCTTAGTCAGTATATGCAAAATTCTAGAACATCACATTTAAATGTTGTACTTTATTTGTTATAATATTTAAAATCTACAATGAGCCAAGGTCTCCTTTTTCTTTCTTTGACAGCATATGCTAATGTTGAATGGGGTAATTGCATATACATTGGATATTCAACCACATGCTATAGTGTTTTTTTTTTTTTTTTTGTGATACATTAATTTCTTAGAAGTCAAAGAAACAATTAATAATTTCTAAATTTTCAACTACAACTAAGTATCAGGCTTTATCTTTAGTGGTCGGTGAAATAATTTGACTTAAAAAACATTTCTTTCAACAATTTATAAAGGAAGATTCTTTGACAATTAACTCATCTCACTTTTCTGTTCTTTAATTATAAGAATGCATCACAATTATGTTCAAATTTCTCATCTATATCATTGACTCTTTTATTTATTTATTTTTTTTATTTCATTTCTTTGTATCATTTTGTTCAGGAGAAAAATTTAAAACTGCAAAGAAATAATTGCAAGAAATTTAAAATCAAGCAAGAAGGGGACGGTTGCTTCATATTAATAATCAAATAGAAAAAACAGAGAAAGAAATTAATATACACATGTAGATATTGTGAAAAAAATAAAAAAAATAAAGTTCTCTTTTCTAAAAGTGACGATACATTGATGCCAAGAAAAAATTATATTTGAAATTTAACTAATGTATGAAATCCAGTAACAATACAAATGTTGCATTGAAATCTCATATTTATAAATGACCTGAGCAAGAGAGATTCACAAATAAGACACAAAGATTTTTTTAATTTATAACAAAAATCACAATTCTACATTGTATGATTTAGGGTTCATCATTCCAGAAAAATGCAAGAAGCCTAAAAATGAACAATGATTCAAAATTGCAGATGAGGGTAAAGATAGAATTTAAAATCTTCAATTAATTTTGTGAGAAGTTAATGAATGATACAGTGTCTTCAAATATATATGGAATAAAAAAAAAAGCATAAGAAATGAGTTAACCATAATCTTCTTCATCAATCTTCAAATGTTGTAAGAAATTAACGAACAATACAGCGTACTTAGTATAAATGAAATGAGAAGAATTCGTAAGAAATGAGTTTGTCTAATCTCTAAAGATCAGGTGACCTCAGATTCATTTCTTCATAAGCCCCGCTCTTCTCTCTTTTATTCCAATAGAAACTCTTTAATTGAAACTTAATAGTTAAATGGGGTAATTCTTTATGAAACTTTAAATTAAAAATTAAAAAATTATTTAACAATAATAATTAAAAAATTTTAAGGATTAATTAGTAAATATATTTTTTTAAATCCTTTAAATATAAATTTAAATTTAATAGATTTAAATATAAATATAAATTTAATAGATTTAAATACGGTATTGTACCCTCTTAGCAAGAAAAGGATACCGTAGAATTCTCCTTAGAAAAAAGTTCGATGAACATCCATTTTGAATTATTGTTGTATTCCGTAGATACCCTCCGTAAAACAGCTGCGCGCAATAGGAACAGATAAATAAATGAATCACTATGGTGATTAAATTAAAAGGCTCCTATTTCACTTGCTTCTCTTTTCTTTTTCTTTTTCTGTCGCACCAATATTTATGTGAAATTTTAAATATAAAATAAAAATATAAATAATATATCACCGTTCACATATTTAAGAAAGAATAAAATATAATAAAAAAATATGCCAAAATTCAAATTTATGAAGTCTAAATTTACAAATGTGAAAATATTTACGTTAACAAATAGATAACTCGGGATTGACTAAATTTAAATAATAATATTTAGGAAAATGAAATTAAAATATAAAATGCTTATGTGAGAGAAACCGCGTAAAATTCATTGAGAGAATTCGACTAAGGAAACTAAGCCTTTCACTTCTTGCACGTGGGTATAATAGAAGTAACATCATTTCCAAAATCATGGACTTCATGTTATCATATGGTGATAAGACAGTACAAGCAACACCCTGGACCTGGAGGGAACCCAGGCCCAATAAAACACCATCCATTTATTTGATGAAGTGTCTGCAATTCTATAATGCATTTCGAGAAAAAAAGAGTACACTTCCCTTCTAAAATTACACTCTCAACTCCCCAACCTCAGACCCTAATGGTTTAAAGACAGCTTCCACTTCACTCGGAACAACTTCCTCCAACCTTGATGGTTTCCATTTTGGGTTCTGCACGAGGACAGTTTTTAAATGTTTGAATCTATTAGTGAAGTAGGAAACACCATATACCGAATATTGAAGGATAAATACCTTGAGGGGTTAAAAGGGAAAGATAAAAGGATTCATAGCAGCAGTGTAGCAAACAGAAGGAACTATATGCAGATAGAATCAGATATAAATACTCTGTAAATACTTTGTTTCTGAAAATTATTTCCTAGAATTATTTCACAGGATAAAAATATCAAAAATATGTTTGATAATTTTTTTCCATTAAGTTATGAAACAACAAAAAATAAAGTAAATGAAACCAATTAAAATCAATGATAGTCTCAAGTAAATTATTGATAGCGTGAAATGTATCCAAGTATGCCACATCAACAAACACTCGCAAATGACATAACATGTTTAGACGTATGTCAGATCATCAGTAATTAATAAGAGGAACTATTGAAATTTATGAGGATTAAAACCAACAAAAATTTTGAACAATAAAATATTGACCATATATATAGAACTAAAATTATATTTCACCCAAAATACTTTTCTAGTATTAAAATCAAATTTCAAAATATTTACAGAGACTACAAACCTACTATTTAAATCATATACAATTATCCGTTAAATTGGAATATCTAAACAGTTATGTTCTCCATTTTATGGAGAGATCATTTTTCGAGTGGAACCCACGTTGAGTTTTCTCTCTTCACCTTTTATATTATTCCAAATGGAAGAGAACTTTTCGGGAAATGTTTTTTTCATGGATAGATTTTCTCTCTCTTGTAAATTCTTGCAGACTTATTCTCAGTAGACAAGTCAATTGCACCCAAGCTTTCCTAGTTTAGCAAGTAATTAAATTGAAGTTTGTCTATCATATTAAAAATACTAAAAATCATGACAAAAAGAGAGAACCTGATCCTTGTCCACCAGCACTGCTCGGACACCTTCGGCAAAATCATGTCGTAGTGATGACCTCAAGGCAATGCGATACTCAGTTTTCATTACACCGCTAAGCTGGAATTTCCCAAATGCAGATGTAATACACATAAATAGAAGTTCAAAAAAGAGGGACTTAATATCCCATCCCCCAACCACCACCCAAAAAAGAGTGCTTACCATGGATAATTCACTGCCATTTTTCCCTAGCGCAGAAGCAACTGCAGAGAAGTGCTTTTGGGTCAAGAAAAGGGAAAAGGGAGCACCTTTTCCAAGACCTTGGAGAGCTTCATTAGCCCACTCCACAACTAGAAATAGAAAAGTGCAAAAATATTATGAGAAGTAATTAATTAACTGTATTTTTTAACATTAGTATATATTATTTAATATCCTTAACAATGAGAGTATCTGGACATTTCAGTAGAACACAAATAATCGATATGTTAATGAGCATACCATTAGGATCACTGCTTGACTGGTGCTTTTTAAGCTCTTCAATGGTCTCAGTGACTGATTTATTTCCTCCAAATGAAGACATTATCTGAGGTAAAAGCAATTTCAACTGTGCCTCAGACTCAGGGTTGGACTCATATCTTGCTAAAAGTACTTTGATGTCCTGATGTGGATCCTGGGAACTAAATAACCAATGAGTTTTGTGTAAGATAGTTACATCTTTAATGTTTGAAGACGGATACATGTGAATGCAATTATATACTTCATTACAAAGCCAATAGATATGAAAGAATATTTCAACATACAAGACGACCATGAGTGAAATGTGTGGTCCACACAGTACATGACACAAACACGCCTATGAATTATTATCATTTCATGGGTCCAATTCAATCTCTATTGATAAAATCATGGTCATGGGGGAGGTAATCTTAAAAAGAATGTCAAGTTCAAAGGTTCAAGCTAACATACAAGTTGGTTGCCAAAAGGGCCTCCTTGAATGAACCTAACTTTCCAGATGGCACGTAATGTGTTCCAAGGCCAGTATATATTGCATCTGAAGGAGTAGAAATCCTCTTTCCAGTCAATCCAAGATAAGCTCCTGCAATTAGTAATTTTCAAAAAATCCATATATAAAAAAGTGGAAGAACCTTTTACAATATATAAGAAAAGTAACTTTAACTGAAACCAGAGACCACATCTAGATGCTTCAATAGTGCAGTGCAGCGCACAACGTGTACTTATAGGGAAGACTATGGGAGAATAGTGCACAAAAAGAAGAAAGAGAAATGTTGATACTTTAACAACCCTCAGATACGTATTAGCTCATCTAGTAAAAGCAGTAAAGAACTACAAATGCTGTATTAATTAAAAGGAAAGTACCAACAGATCCTTCCCCTGGACTTTGAGCTGCTATATAAGCAAAACCTACATCTGGGAACAGGCCAATTCCATTTTCTGGCATTGCAAGAACAGTTCTCTGTAGATGTGGAAGACAAAAAAAGGTCAAACAAGATCTACAATGGCAATTCATGATTAAACGAGGCAAATATTACCAGGCAATCATACCTCTGTTATGATGCGGTAGCGACCATGACCAGATAAGCCAATACCAAAACCCATTGTTATTCCATCCATGAAGCTTATATATGGCTTCTTGTAATCAGAAATTTTGCATATCAAAGAATACTCAGCCGTGAAGACCTAAAATATGGAGCATAACAGGTGCATAATTTTTACATAGGACATCAACAGATCATCCAAAAACCATCAAACACATAATGCTGACATCAGTAAGAAACAAAATATAATCCAATTGACAACAAAAACTGTCTAAAATCAACCAAATTACATTTGCAGCTCCGGTAGGCACATGCATTAAACTCCCAAAGGGAGTTCAGTTAAATGTCAAGGGAAAAAAAGGGGGTGTCAAAAGGGCAGGCAATCCGGTCATAAAAGAAGTTGGTACATTTCAATAGATGGGGCATTCATAGGACCTTCACTGAAGCACCTTCAGGTGTGGCAATAGCTTGTGGTCTTACCAAAAACGAAAGTTTCACAAATGGCTTCCTCAGTCACAGTTTTATACATTTTCTTTCAAATTTAGTGCACACATTATGGTAAACAGTTCAGCTCTAGTCAAATAAGAGCTCATTCATAATTTTGAATGTAAAAGTTACAAAAATAAACTAAAAAGAACCTATTTTAATATGTTTATTCTTGAAGCTTGCTGAAAAATGCTAAAAAGGCTTACAAGGTCATAAACTATTCCAAAAGCTCAAATAATGAAATAAACTCTTTCAAAATCCCCCTTAATTATTCATAAAAGTCCCTCAGTAACTTGGCATTGCCAATTATCTAAAACATTGAAGGTTTTAAAGCCGTCAGTGCTCACCTATGAAGCACAGGGTTCCAACACAGACACTGTACATGACACTGACATGGACATTCCAACACTTCTAATTTTAAAAATATAGGACGCCATGTATAGAGAGAAAATATATCAGTAATATTTGAATATAAGTGCAAAAAATTCCACTGGGCAAATGTATTTATTTTGCATTGACATGGCTTTAATAAAGTGAAAGGGTATGAATCTGAAGGTATGTATAATTACAAAAGACACAACTAGACCTCAATCATATCTGATAGATGATTTTTGATTGTTATCTGCTTCACATCACCACCTGCAGATAAACTAAGATCTCGGTTACCGAGTAAGCAGTGGTTGAAAATAGAGAAATTTTATTTGACGATGCAGAGCCTATAAACCGATAGGACTGCATTGAAAGATGATGATGTTGACAAATAAGCAAACAATATATCCAATGAATTATATTACAACTGCAACTGGATAAGCATGTATTAATACACTTGAGGTTAAAACAAATAATATAATGAGACCTTCGGCACTAAAGGAGTGTTTCTGTCCTTTTGTATTTCAGCAACAACCCCTTTAATATCCATACCTGCATTGACCATCAATGGTGACTCTCAAAACCTTACCTAGCACTCAGTACTAAATAACCTCAGATCGAAAACAGAATATCTGTGAAAGAAGCTAATTTATAAAGTATCTATGCTAGGAACATGCTTCAATAAAATATTGCATTAAAGGAAAAAAGAATTATCTGGTTCTCCACGATCACTCATTCATACCAGCACAAAAGGCACGAGCCGAGCTGCTATCAACTAGTACACATTTGACCCTTGGGTCTGATTCCCATTCATCAAGGTATCTTTTATATTTTACATCCATATCTGCACCATAAGATTTGTAAATTAAAATCAAGGGGAGCGAGAGGACTACCCAGAGATAAATAACATTTATTTATTCCTAAATAATTAACTCAGAACTGCAAGAGGAAAACAATTGCAAAAGAATACAATAAAATAGATCCACCCTTCGTTTTTCTTATTCTACGTTAAATAATCAATATCCAAAATCATCATTCCCTTCAAAGTTCAATAAAAATCCCAATTTTGCAATTTTCGAATTCCCAGGACCTTATGACACTAGTCGCAGATATTAATTTTCAACTAAGCCAGAAGCTTCACAATAATTGTGTGTTGCTATATAAAGTGAGTTCAACTAAACATTCCAGATTCCAAAATCGAATTTCCGACCACAATTATCAACTTAAAAGCATAAATGTTTATAAGAAAAAAGCAAGAAAAGAAAAAGGAAAAACCTAGGCTCATGGCGTTGAGAGCTTTGGGGCGATCGAGGGTGATAACAGCGACGCCGTTTTGATAAACGGTACCCTTGACGAATTCTTCGGCCATGGCGGAAAATGCTCGAACAGAAAAGGATGGTTTGGAGCGAGAAAAAGAGAATAAACTCAGAAAACGATGAGCTCTGACAGCACCCAGTAGCATCCTTTTCTGTGATATATCTTTGAAAACGAAGGTGTGCCTGCTACTTCGTGCTTGTTCATGTTTCTTTTAGCCCTTCTGACCCTCTAGCCCTTATCCTTTTTTCTATTTACTGCCCTTCACAGTTCTTCGTTTTCATTTCCACAAGGTTAAATTAGTCAACAAACTGCAAACTGCCGCATATGTGTGTGTACCATATTTTATTTCGTGTTTTTTTTTTTCCTCCTAATTAAGAAGTTAAGATATGAGATTAATAAAAATATTATTAACAATTTTTTAATAATTTAATTTGAAAATATTAATAAATATATATTATCTATTTATAAATTATTATATCAATAAAAAATAATGCACATAATAATTAATATAACAATTATATTTATGATAGATTTTAATTTATTAATAATATAAAAATATTTATTGTATCAAAATTAAATTATTTTTAATGTATGTTCAAAAATATATATTAAAAATTATTAAATATATTACGTTATCTAAAAATATTATTAAATACTTTTTAATATTTAAATTTAAATTTATTGATAATGTAAAATTTTAAATTATTATTTAATTGTGAATTATTATATAAATAAAAATTATTAACTTATATGATAATTAATATAAAAAATATATTTATGGTAAATTTTTTAATTAGTTGACAGTGTAGAGATATTTACATTAACAATGTATTGAATTAAATATTTTTAATATATGTTAAAAATTAGTAAATATGTTATATTAAATATTTTAAATTACTATTTACAATATGTACTATTTTTTATGAGTTTAAGATAATAAATATTTTAATTTTTAATAAAAATTAATTTTTTTTATATGTGATCTTGTGTACACGTTAAAAAACTGAATTATTACCTCTTCTTATCATTTTTAATATAATTAAATATATTTTTCTTAATCAGCGTTCAACGGCACCTTTTAAGTTATGATAAATGACAAGTTTTTAGAAATTATTAAAAATAAAAAAGCATTATCAACATTTTTATGTTATAGTTTTAATATGTATAACATATTTTTAATAAAAGATAAATTTGTTATTTGTTTAAGTAATAGTTATTCTTATTGTATTTGATGACAAAAATTTTATATAATTCTTTATTAGAAAAAAGGTAAAAAAAAGATTAAAAAAATATATTTTTTTCTTATTTTGTTTAAAAGATTGGAACAAAAATGATTAAAGAAAAATGAGCTAACCTAAAATCTCTCTTAAACTTGAATTTCTCCAAACTAGAAGGATTTACAGGAGTGAAATGTCTTTACGACAAATAAACTCATAATTATTAATCTAATAAATATATGTGATTATTTTAAGTGTATAATAAAATTATTTATTTATTTATTTATAAATTAAACAAAACATGTTTCTCTTTTGTTGATTTATTTTATTTCTCGATTTTTGAATTAGACATAAATTAAGCATGCACTGATGTATAAAACATTTTGAATAAATGACACCTTATAAATAAGTTTTTATCAATTCAAACTTGATAATGAGTTGACTTAAGTGAAACTTTATTGAATTTTAATTGATAAAAATTGGTTCAGTTTAGAAAATAATTAAAGTTCGATATAAATATTTTCTTTAGCTCAAATTTGATTTGATTCAAGCTCATGAAATACTTTGGTATTGAGTTGCAGAAAATAATACAAAAATAAATTAGATTCAGGACTCTTTAAAATCACCCTTTACTAATACTTTTTAGGGAAAATAACACAATTTAAATATCATTAAAATAAAAACATTATTGATTTATGACATTGTATATATTTTTTATTTAATTAAAATAAAAAGAAAAGAAAATAAATTTATATAATAAAGTGTGTGTGTGGATAAAATTATATATATTATAATTATAATTGTTTGAAAAATCTTTTACAATCTACAATAGATTAATTTAGAGGAACCAAAACAGGGATTTAAAAAATGACTTTTTAGTTAATTCTAACAACAAAAACAGCACTTCAATGACAACAATAACGATATTTAAATTATTTTTGTCATAATATAGTAATTGTTAGCTTTCATAATGATAATGCTCATGACGATAACAATTAGTTGATAAAATTTTCAATCACGTGTTAGAAATTCATTTTTTAAGTTTATATAGGTTTCAGAAATCTAAGGTCAAGAGATTGACGTGGGCTTGAACGACGGATTATTCTTATAAATTGGGTCGCGTTACCAACGGCATAAGGACTTGTAGTGCTCCGCATTGTTGGGCTTTCTTTTGGGCCGCTTCAGAGACTTCAATTGAATCCCCCAAAATAAAACAATAATAATAATAATATGTTTATTTTTTAAAAATATATAAATAGTTTTTTAAATCAATTGAACTAAATATATAACAAAATTATTCAAACGATACAAATTGTGTCTCGATAATAATGATGATAAGACACCTGCTCCATCTGACCAAGGGCACGGTATATTACGGGCCACGAATGTCAACAACGTCTTAAATTCATGTGGAAGCATTCGAATTCTAGGAAAGCATATGGCAGAAAAAGTAGATTTATCTTCAAGAGCCAATAAAATTTTGGGACCATCCTTGGTCTAAAACGACAACCTTAGATTTAATAATAATAAATGAATGTAGATGAAACTAACAACAGTCAACAAATAACTTAATTACCTTTGATTTTACGTCTTTTAGTCTGGGATGCAAGTTGTTTTATCGCTACCAAAAGTGGCTTTTACGTTCAAAATGAGCTGAAATCTCAATTTCAACGCTCATTCAAACACGTACATACTAATTAGATAGCTTTCATTAACTTGTAGAATTTGCAAGCCCTTCTAGAAGTAGAACAAAATGCATTAGACATTGATTGACCATGTATCCTGTGCAAAACTAAACATTGTAACAGTAAAGATACGTCTCAACAGAAAGCCACCCCAATAATGTTCAAAGCATACCTGAATTCATAGCACAGATCATAAGACGCATCACTGTTGCCGCATGCGTAGAAACATGTCAAGAGTGTTTCCTGTCAATGTGTAAAAACATTACATATTATTAATTTTGGTGACTAGCTCTTATTAACCTGAACTACCTAAATTAACAAGTGTATATTTACTGATTTTTGCTAATTATTCGTAGAGTTAACAAAATATGTCAACTCAATTGAGTTAATATGAATACGTTTGACAAAACGAAGGGTTTAAAATTTAAATATTAAATTTATTTTAACCTAATTAATTTTTGTTGAGCCTGATATCATTAAATTCAAATTGTTTAACTCAGACCTACTAAAATTTGGTACTTGCAATTCAATTCAAAAATCGGATAACTTATTTTATCGGCTCTAATTATTCATAATAAGTGAGTTTTTCATCTTTTTTTTATGTTTGAATTTTTCTATATTTAAATTTTAAAATAATGTATAAATATCCATCGTTGATTTTGGTTACAAAACTTAAATATTTTACCTTCAACTTTTGTACATGAAGCATCCATGTCATATTATCTTCTCACTATTCTTGAGCACTAAATAATAATAATAAACTTATGGTTAAGAGTCTTAATCTTCACCATCATAAAAGGATGAACACGCGAAGGGTTAATAACTAAAAGTGACCAAACACAACAAATGGTTTAAGAAAGAAAAATTTGCCAAACAAGAACATAAAAAATGAGACGGCATTGTGAAACATAGGCAAGTTTACGTAAATTTAATTTTACAATATTTTTAATTTAATTCTCTATAATTATTCCCTTTAAACATAATATCCCTATTAATTTTTCTAACAATTATTTACTACAAAAAAATATTTATATTTTTGGGTTTATAATGTATATTAAAAATCAAATAGACACTTAGTTAATAATTAACAATTTGAAACATTCAAACCTTCATACACGTGACGTGAGGAATTTTTTAAACTACGTACTTTTTATTTAAAAAACTAAGGGTTGTAAAAGTAATTTATATTATTTATGACATATTTATTTTTTAAAAAAAGTTAGTCATATAGATTGTATTTTCCGCTTATATTTTTTTATTTGAAAAAACAGAAAGTAAGTCGAATATATGTAAAAAATATAATTATGTAAAAAATTTAAAACTTACACTAATTTAATAATTTGGTGTAAAAATGCACGAATAGTAATTATCCATCAAGTCTGTAGTAGCATACAAAATAAAACATGGTCTTTCCAGTACAACCCCGCAAGGCTAATCAGTCACTCACCATCCAACCCCAAAGTACAAATATCATTTAACAAATACAAATATTGCACTTTATTTCTACTCAAACACACATTTTTTCTATTACTAGTACATGCATCACGAGACAAATGATACTAATATATCTTTTAACATATTTTTTATTCTTGAATTATGTTTTATACTTGCTTAATACTTTTTTTAAAATATAAGCAAGTATTAAACGTAACTCAACAATAAAAAGATAGGTTAAGACAAAATATATTATTATTATTATGAGGTGAGAGCACCCTTGAGCACCTCCACAAACTTGACGGGTGCAGTTAATTGAGGGAAATGTCCAATAGTGTCTATGATCTCCAAAGTAACTTCCCCTTTAATTTTCTTCTCCATGTAAAGTGCTACGCTGCGTGGAACAGCCTTGTCAATAGTGGTTTGTATGATAGTGCATGGAGTCTCAACCTTGCCAAGTATCTCTCTACAATCACAATGAAAAATAGTCTTCGCCAACGAGAGTGCAACTCTAGGTCCCATTTTTATCAAGGACTTCTCAAATTTGTCAACAGAGAGATCATTAACTGAATCTCCTACTGATGAGGCGAAATCAGAAGCAAAATTTTCATAGTTGGTTTCTATGTTCGAGAGTAACTGTTCGATATCTGAGCTGCTAAATCCTCCTTCATAATCATCTGAATTTTGAAACCTATACCAAGAAATTGGAAGGATTATTAGCCCTTGTCCAATAATAATTAAAGCTCGAATCGGATTCAAATACAGGTATTGGAATTTTAACTTTTTTTTATTTGGTAGAGATAAATATTTTATATATTTCAAGAAATACATTTAATCTAATTCTATAAAAGCTAAAAGAAGTATAGAATAATTTTAATAGTAAACAAAATTCATATAAAGAAGTTATTTAAAGCATTGAAACTAAGAACATTTTATTAATGCACATACACTTTTACTTAGGAAGTGTTTTTATTAGAAGCAGCTCCACCGTGCCAACACTTGAATTATTTTCAGAGATTGGTTGGTTGGGCCAAAGTTGAAATATAATTAATATTTTATATTCCTAACTGACAGATAAATTAAGAATAAACAATTTTTAAAAATATTTTCTAAACTGAGAAATTATATATATATTGGCTAACATGTTAGGAATACTTATAATCAATAAAACTGAAAGTGAGTAAGCGCTAATATGATAAATTTGTATTTAAAATACAATCATTTTATTATTTTTTTGAAGGAGATTCATTTTTAGATACTTAAAATCAATTTTAAATTTATGAATTAAACATTTATTTAGTGACAAATAATAAATATGTTTTTTATTAAATTATTCACAATCCGCCAATCTTTAGTAAGGGAAAATAATAAATATTATTTCTTCTTATTTATTTTACCAATTCTAAATCTTTAAGCAAATGACTGCCATCTCAGCCTCCTTATTTTTCAATCATTAAAAACATTTCAAACAATAATTCATTTTCCTTTTATTCCTTCCATCTTGACAAGACCAAAGTGAAGGTGTAAAGCAGCTCCATTTGGATTGGGTCCCAGGCACGAGACTTTCAATACATCTGATTAAATCATTAAGCTAGCAACAGTCTGCTTTTAATTCATAATCATAGTGGAAGAAAAGGTAAGAGTTGTCCACCCAGATAACGTGAAAACATAACCACTAATTTAAGGAATAGAAGATCCAATAACATTAACACAAATCTAACTAATATCTTAAAAGTGAAATTTTTTATTAAAAATATAATGATATTGTATTATTTTCATAATTTTTAATCCACTTCAACGATTTTTTATTCAAAAAAATTCACTATTTTTTAAAATAAACATTTTCTTTAAGATTGAATTCAAGTAATCAATAATAACAGAATTATATTAAAAATTAATTTATAATATTTTTTATCTTCAATCTAATATCTTTTTAATAAAAAAACATTACTCTTAATCCTCAAAAGCAAGGTTATATAGTGACAAAAAAAAAAAAACACAAATTAGTAAGCAAGTATTAATTATAGAGAAGAAAAGAAGATTATACACCTCGGTGAAGCAGCAACTAGAACAAGCCTCTTAAAGAGTTGAGGCCTTTTGATAGAAGCAATACAACCAATCATGCCAGACATGGAATGGCCAACAAAAGTGACAGTTTTGAGGTTCATCTCATTCACCAGAGTGATCAAGTCATCAGCAAAATCTTCCAAAGAAGAATACTTAACTGGGTCATAAAGGTTCTTATTGTTTATGGTTCCAGAAAAAGGCCAATCAAACACTACGAGACGGTAATTTTGAGCAAGTAATGGAAGGATTTTGTCCCATATGGACTGGTCCGTTCCATAGCCATGAGCCAAAACTATAGTTTCACTGCCACACCCTTCAGTTTTGGCATTCAAAGCAGCTGAAAGGCCCTTTTCTGATGTTGCCATGTTTGGGTTAACGTTTAGTTCAATAAGAAGCATAAACTACGGGTTGAGCTGAGAGTTGATAGCAGAGACAGCTTCTGAGTAATGAGAGTAGAGTTTGCTGCCTATTTATAACCATAAAAATGGCTATGTTCAAATTTTGTTTATCTACATGTACATTCTGCAATTTATGTTGCATGTGTAGGATATGATATCCTTAATCAGTACATTTACGAACACATATTATGATAAATTTTAAAAATAAAAAAATTTAAATAATATTTTAATTTCTTAACTTGACTCAGATTTATAAGTTAGTCTTTATATATAAAAAAATTTGTAAATCATTTCTTATAAATACATTTATTTATGATTTAGCTTCTGCCATTAAATTTAGAGTAAACGATATTAAATAAGTATAAGATTAAATTAAAAATAAATATAATATGAGGACTGATTTATAAATTTTTTACATTTAAAAATTAACTTACAAAATTTTACATATAGGGATTAAATTATAAAATTGAGTTAAAAGTATTTTTAAAATTTATGATATACTTTTAGTTTGTATCTTGATTTTGATAATGTTGAGTAAGTAGATAAAGGCATAGATGAATACATTAATAATTCTATTGCTAACAACATCTATGAGGATGCATTTGAGGATAGAGAAGGATTTTATGAGGAATTGAGGTTTGGAGTAGGTGGTGTGGATGTAGATGTGGGTGTGGGTGAGAGTGAAAGTGAAAATGGTGAAGTGGTTGAGAAGAGAAGAGAATTCAGCAAATTGATTGATTTTTGGGATGAAAAGTTAAGAGGAAAAGAGACTCTAGCTTTCATTAAAGTTTATGCTGAGGAAGAAGAAGAATGAAGAGAGTGAAATTAGAGGTGGAAGTTAAGGAGAGGGTGTGAGTGAATCGCAAAATCAAAAAATTTATAAAAATACTTTGAACTCATATTTATAACTTAGTTTCTATATATAAAATTTTGTAAACTAGTTTTTACATGTAAAAAATTTATAAATTAATTATCATATTACATTTATTTTCAATTTAGTCCCTTATTTATTTAACGTTGTTTACTCTAAATTTAATGATGGAGAATAAATTAAAAATAAATGTACGTATGAAGACTGATTTACAAATTTTTTTACATGTATGGATTAACTTACAAATTTGAATCAAGTATAAAAATTAAAACATTATTTAAATTAAATAAAAAATATCAGTATATTAATATAACTTTTAAATATCATAAATATTAGTAGATTGTTATGAAAATGTTTATAATAAAATAATTTAACAAATTTATATCAATCATTTTATAAGTAAAAAAGAATAAGTTTAATTAAATAAAAAGTTTGAATAATTTATAAATTTATTACAATTTTTTAAAAATAATCTAGTTAATATTTTAGATATGATTAATTATATATTAAATTACTTTTTATTAAACTGATAGTCGAAGTTAATATTAAGTTATAGTTAATTTACATGTTTGATGGTATATCTTAAATTATATTTAATACTATTAAAGTCAGATTATATTATATTTAATTATTTAAAAAATAGTTTTAATAAATACATGTGTACTCAACATGTAGCAATCTCGATACGTACCGAGTAAAACTCATTACCACTTACCCGTGATTGAGAGTGCGAATTTTTCTAGTGTCAAACCATGTTGGAATGATTCTTTCAAACCACATTGGTCAAATCAAACACGGATGACTTGTCAAGGTACAATTTTTCTTCTCAAAAAGTAAGATTTTGTTGCTTTTCGGAGTTATTCAAAGTATTTGGTAAACTTTGTTGTCAATACTATCCATTATTGAAGTTCTTATTATAATTAGCACAAAATTCAACTTCCACCCAAAGGTTCCCCGTGACTTTTCAAGCCGAAACAGAAATGGGCTAGTGTAGAGGTTTCAGCCTTTAGATTACTAATTTTGAAAGATAAAAGTGCCCCGTGGATAAAAGTCGATATAATAGCATAAACAATGCAATTTTCTTATGAGGTACATCATAAAAATAATAATATCTTATAATGTTTAATATAAATTTATTATATATTAACTTTTATTGTGTGCTTCTTAAATATTAAAAAAAATTATTAAAACTTTGTTTAAGAGTTTAGAAGGTGAAAAAATAAAAAAGTTTAAAAGGTAAAGGATGAGAAGAGAAGGAAAGAAATTTTAATACAAATTTTTTTAAATTGAGTGAATTTAAAAATATGAGATTAGAAAAGTTTTAAAATGTTTATTATAAATTCTCTTTCTCATCTAAAAACTTTTAAACATGGATAAACATCATATAAGTCTTCCCTTCCCTTTCTTTCTTTCTAAAAATCAACTCTCAAACAAAAAAGTCTAAAAACAAACTAGTACGAAAATAAGGATCTAATATTACTGGCTCATTTGGTTCTACGTTCATTTAATGGAGAACCAATCACAAACTACTCCTTTTCTTATATCCCTAATCCTACATTTGCCAATATCAATTAAAGTGTATTTTTAAGTTAACAGAGTGATATTGTTCTAAGCAAATAAAGAAAAGTACGCTGGCCTTAATTTCGTTTTCGTGAAATACGACCAATGAAATGGAAACACGTAATTCAAAATATACCTCATCCTTCGTGCAATAAGAGTTGAAGCGCTTTATGGAAAAGACGAAGTGAACACCAATTGTAAGTCTCAAAATTTCAAGTATTTAATCACTTTAATTTCTATATAAAATCTCCAGTTTGAAGCTTAACAATACAAATGTCATTTATTTTAGTCTTTCTATGTAAAATGACGTTGGGAAATAATTAAGACCAAATTAAATGACTTTTCAACATCAAGGACAAAAAAGAAATTGTGCAGCAGCAAAATTACCCATACAACACAAAAATTTTTGAAGACGATGGAGGTCCAAGAAAACATACTATAGTCTATACCCCATGTCAGGGCTTCTAACTAATAGTTAAAATTGTGATGCATGATCCATCCACATTAGTCTTATTGGTTGATTTACAAAGTTGACTAATTTAACTAGAAAATACACACATCGGAATACAACGCTCATCTAGGAAACCACACTAAAGCGGAGTAGTAGCATTTGTTTCCCCACAATCAGTTGAAGTAAGCATTTTCATTTGCTAGCTCATCAGTGGGTGGAGCAACAAAGATAACAAAAGATTAACAGGTATAAATGAAATCAGCAATTATATATGTATCTTCAAATAAAGGTTATGAGAAGAAAGTTTCAATACTAATATCTTACGTAATTAAATTCACTAAAGAAAACAATTGCAGCAATTTAGGAAATAGCACAACGCCTCCTACACCCAGAAACTTCATGTCCAAAGATCCTCCCTCCCAGGAAAAATGCGTTACTGTTTTCTGCGATCATCAAAGCAAATCCTTTTAGCAAGACAAAACTTGTCTGCAATAAATATGAATCCCTTCGAAGGTGATTGATTAATTTTAAAAAATGCCTGTACAAGGAAGGCAAAAACAATCAGAGGATGATTTTTGCTGACACGGAAAATGGCAAATGGAAAGCTTGAAGCAAATGACAAACTTGTATAACAGGATCACCATTAATTTGATGGCACAGCTTTATTACAGAATCCATTTCTTGGCCTCTTGTTGGATATAATATCAGAAAAAGAGTCAACCAGTTGTCCTGCCAAACTACTTGGATCATCAATAAGGGTTTGAATGAAGGTATTAACCACCCTGCGCTCTTGCTCTGTCGACCTTAAACTAAACCATGTTAGCAATTTCAACCTAAATTCCTGTTTGATGTGACCCTCACATTCTAGCCAACGAATTACTTTCACACAATACTCAAAGTTTTCATCCAAGGGGCATGAACCATCAGATATGCGTAAAGGAGAACCATTTATCAAAGTGCTGTCACAATCATGTGTCTCTTCATTTGTGCTTGCTTTCCTTTTCCTGCACACATCTATGCGAGAGTCAACAGCTGACACTTCTCCTGCAGGCCCATGGGTCCAGGTTTGGGAGTCACCACTTCCATGCGATCTTGCTAAACCATTTTTCTCCAGATCATGAGAAGCAGCATCATCATCTGCCTCAACAGCCAGCAGCAAAGAGCAACCATTATCTTCATCCCTAGAGCACTCAAAAGGAGGTGTTAGCTCTTCATTTAAATCAGGCACTGAAACCACGTTTAAATCAAGGCCTCGTGAAACTGAAGGCAACTTCACTTCTGGAATTTTAAGTTTGTCGATAGCACTTTGTCCACAGCAATTTTTCATATCAGCACAGCAAAACTCTTCAAAGTACCCTTGTGCCTGAGCCCAAGCAAGACGCAATATTTTCCCAAGGTCACGAACCTTAAATCCATAGTCTTCCATTGTGGCATTGGGGTCCATCTTGGAGCCAGAAGAATTGCCCCTAGTTAGAAGGTTATTTTTTTTATGATTCATAGCAACACATGAAGTGGGATTGTTTCTAATTATCTCGATGCTCTTGGTGAAACACTTAGCCTCTGAATGACCCAAGTCACCTATATCGGTATAAGATACAATTCGAAAAGTATATTCTGTGCAAGGCAAAAGGTTGGATATCAAAATCCTCCTCTGAGATTTGGGAAACACAGAAACAGGATCTTTTGTGGGTGATTCATCCCGAGTCTTGTAATACCAAAGTTTGTATCCCTTAATGGCTTCCGAACATATATTTGACATTTCAATTAAAATGATTTTCACCGAGGAAGTTGATACCTCTTCAAAAACAAACTTGCAAGCAGCAGGAAGTGAACCCTCTGCGAGTTATGAAAATGTCATCATGTACCAAATAAATGAGATTGAGTTGAAAAGAAGGAAGAAATTAACCGCACCCCCATGCCCACACACACACTTAAAAAAAACACTGAAGAGCATTAGTTCCGACCTGTGGAATCCAGATTTACATTGGAAACAGTAGCCAGCCACTTGTCAGCTTTCTCAATAGCAAGAGAGCAGAGTTTCTGTATATCACTGGCAATAGGGAGTCTGCTGACAATGCCTCGTGCCATCTTGGCAGAAAACCCATCAGCAGGACCAACTTCTGCCTCCAGTTTAGCCTTTGCCTCTTCTACAATTTGATGCAAGTCTTTAAATTTTGAAGTTCCGTCCAGGAGCCTGTAGCTCAAATATATCCTGTAACAGAGTATATCTACACGCCGGGCATCTTTTGCTATATTTAGCTGCTTCTTCCAGCATCTACCATTATTAAACAATAATCACCAAGGTCATCAACAGAGGGCAGGAAATTTACTTACCAGCATACAAGTTGAAAATGGTTAAATAGATTATACACATTCTTTGAGAAACTGAACAAGGCCATGATGGATCAAAAGATAAATCAAGTGTATCAAAAACTGCAACAGTATGCATGCTTAGTTGCTGCAAGTAATTAGGGAGTGATGAATAGCATGCGGATAACATAGGCAAATTCATTTTAAATCCTTTTCCTCGATCATATATTCAGAATTTACTGTTGAAACACAAATCATAAAAGATTCACCAAAACCTCAATATATCAACAACAGTAATAACTGAGCCTTTTCCTATTAAATGGTGTCAGTTACATAGATCAAACTATACAATGGTGTTCTATTGTGAATCATGTCTATAAACAAACCAAAGCATCAGTCTATCAACAACAAAAATGTGGAAGGAGAAATGATATATACCATCCACAGCTCAACAGGTAAATAAAATTACTTACCCAAGTATCCCTGTAACTTTACCACAGGACGCACAACAATAACCACCATCTAGTTGCATCAATTGCCCATGATCAATAACTCCAACCTTTTCATGTTGAAGGGCACATTCAATATGGCAAGACAACCCACAGGAGTCCCCTTGTGTAGATTCAGATGTGCACACCAACCAAAGACTAGGATCTTTGTTATCATCAAAATGGTGACAAATACAGCAAGAGCACCTTCTACAAAATGTGTCATCTATAGACAATACCGCCCTACAAGCAACATTCTTACAGATCCAAGTGTCTGAATGGCCAAAATCAGAAGACTGGTCAGGAGAAGGTACGAGTCGCGTGGGGTTTTCACCCTTTCGGGGTTGCTTCCTAGAGGGTTGATGGGAGGGACTTGAAACTTTTTTTGTGTCTTGTTTCTTAATTATCTTACTGGTTGACTTAGTTTCAGTCATCCTGCTTTTTGATAAAATGTTTTTTCTGTCCTTATCAAAGCACGTTCGAAGAAGCTCCTTCTTCGGACCACATTTCAGGAACTCCTGAAGGAGTTCTGAACTTTTTGAAGCATCATCTGAATGGCCATTTTTTTCCGGTGTACTTTGCACACTGGAAGAAAGGCTTTGAACGCCAGAAACTGGACAGAAATAACAACCATTTGTAAAGTAAATCTTCAGTGGAAACATACCAAATATTAAATCTCAAATAAATACAAACAATAAACTAAGATTCACGGATAGATAAAAGAAATACCAAAGATAGAAAACTGTGTAGAAGTAAAATAAATGCATACAACAAATGATGAATTGAATTTAGGTCCACCAAAGAATATAAATATAAGGGTATATTCGTACAGTTCAACCATCGATAGAGTTGCTGATTTCTAGAATTTATTGCATTGTTCAGGAGTCAGGACAGGTTAACTTTTTAGATCAGATACAACAGAACTGATTTCAGTTCTTTTCATAAATAGAATCATGTCCCACTTTCACCATTTCTTAAGGCACTTATAAGCTTCAAATTACAGCATTTTACATGGATGATACACCTAAGAGTTGTGTAAGCCAAAAATCCAACAACTGGAGCTAATCACACCTATTGATATAGGTAAGTATCATGAATGCATCGAACAGTAGTCACTACAGCATCAGTTTTAGATCTAATGCATCTAATGGAGAAAAATGGCCGTGTCCACTATCCATATCATGTTTGATAACTACTTTGCGAGAGGAAATAATCACTTAATTATCAAAAGCTCTGTAAGAAAACTTTCGATGAATAAACTAAAGCTTTTGATAAATAAACTTATGTCTTCAATAAATCTGAACCACAAAACAGTGAAAATAGGGAAACAGAGGACAGGAGAAAAAGTATAATAGGATGAATAAGTTAAGACGGTTAACAGGATCCCGATGTAAACAACTTGAATAACTTAAAATGTTGTATGGAAAAGATTACATATGTGCAAGAAGAAAATAGCATCTAACAGTTAACTCCTCAGTAGACAATAGCTGTTTTATACATATTCCACTTTGCATTGACAGTAGCTACTCGGTATACAATAACCGTTTTATAAATATTCCACTTTGCATTGACAGCAACAATGTGACATCATGCAAATATTAATGTTTAAAACATGAGCAGATGTTAATACCAAACTACATCATGCAAATTCATTCAAGGTAACCGCCAAGAACGTTTGAATCTATAATGGCAGAGCTACTCTTAGATGAACATTTGCCAAGGATAAGCCTTGAAATAAAGTTCCTCCAGTCAGACAGCACAGATTTTGAACAAAACAACCAGATTATAAGTTATCATGTAATAGGAGTGATGATAAGTTTCAAGCCATCCTGAAATGGATAAATTTGTAACATGATCTTCACATAGTTCCAAATAATAGGATCAGACTTTCTCACCAAAGTAAGATCATTCACACCAAGGACTGGTGAAGCAGCAAAAGTACGCACACCACAGGCTTTCCAAAATAATTCAAAAACCTAAAACTAAATAGAAGAAAGGTTACATGGAAAACTGAGATTGGGAAGGTCAATACCTCTCATAAACACCAGATCCTGCCTACTCTGAAAAAAAAAAAAATAGATTTCATGTTAGGGAAGCATCTCCATAGCCGACAATGTGGCAACTCCTGGAAGAGCAATCCAAGGAAATCGTGTGGTGGATAAAATTGGAAAAACCCTTGATAAAGAATGGGGTCTATGCAACTTTTAAATTTATGATGTATATCTCAACTGACACTAGTTTAAAATTATATACATTTGATCATACACATATGGAATGTAACTATTGATCAGCCCTACAACTGATTTTATTTAATCATCATCTTAACATTTCGTGCCAGATTTTGCAAAAACTGCTCCTCAATAAACACAAAAAAGTGGATATTTTCTTATATTTGAAGAGTATTTGTGTAGTCCAATCTTAAAAATAAAAACGAATTATAAATCACTCTCATTAATAAAAAAAAAAAAAATTAAAATTTTTAAACATGGTAGCTCTTCAATTCATTATAATTATTACAATGAACAAAAAATTGTAAGGTAAACATTTCAATATAGTACGATACAATCACCAGCTTTTAATGGCAGTTCAGGTCAGTGCAGTCAAAAGCACCAAAAGATTGATATTATTGGTTAATAAAAAAATGTAGGAATCGAAGAGTTCAATACCAAATAAATTATATTTGAATTGGTGTGTGAAGATGAGGCCCGAGGCTAAGGGGGAAATAAAGCAATACTAGTTATAAACCATGTGCTTCGTATTTATTAAAAGATCACAAGCATATCCCTGATATAACAACATTGAGCCCTGACTCTAAGAAAATAGTTGGATGGTAGAATTTCTTGAATTTGGACTTAGTCTTAAGTTAATTTCAAAAGCTAGCTCATAAAGTAAAAATTGTCTTAATCTTTATAAGTTTTACTTTACTCATCCTCTCACACCTAAGATTAAACATCCAAAGGGTAAAAATTATAAAACTTTATATATATATATATATATATATATATATATATATTGCACTAAGAAAGCTGCAAAAGTAGGTAAGTTATGCTAGGAAATCTCTGAGACCATGTTTTTTTCTTTTAATAGTCATATGTAACCTGATGTTAAATTTATGATAGACACTTATACCATATTGAATTTAGACATGGGCCTAACCCATCCCCAAGAACTAGCTCGAAAGGTGAGGGTTTTATAATTTTTATAAGTTTTACTTTAGTCATACCAGTAGTTGACATGAAATTTCAACTCAATCAATCTCTAGTATATATATTATACTAATTGGGCGAATCACATCATTGCATTACTACATTTTAGCACATAATAACATTATATTTCATCATGTGAGCCAAACAAATTTCACATAAATGATAAACATAGGGAGCAGAGGCAGCTTTGAGACATCTTACTGGAACATTTAAGTTTCAAGATTCTTGATCAAGCAAGCATAGTGTTCACGCAACAAATCACGAGGCTACAATATAAAGTATAATAATGAAATGTGGACAAAAATCCTTCTAGATAACAAGTACTCCCTTCCAATATTTACATGTATACCATACATTGGACCAAAACTGTACATAACAATTAGTCTTCATCAGGAAAGAAAACAAAAGAAACCACATGGTTAGACATATTTGAAATAAATACAGCACAATCTTCAATGGAAGAACGCATGTAATATAACAGAAACAGGAGACACAACTTATAGAGGCAATAAGAGTTAAAAGACTTCTAAAATCTCCTGTACGCCTTTCCCAACCCATGGTTTACTTTTAATAGATTAACGTATAAGAATATGAATAATAGTACTACACTAGCTAACACTCAACTTTACATACACCATTCAGAGAAAACAAATTGTTGTAAAACTTTTGAAAGTGCACACTCAGGAAGAAGCACAACACCATACCTTTGACAAGGAACTTCTCTTCTAAATCCATATCTAATTGCTAAAAACTATAATTGCCCTTGCCTGACAAACAAAGAGAATGGCATTACAAGGATGTTTATGCTAGTGGAAAGATCAAAGTTGTGTCATGTATGAATTACCACCAAACTCTATGCCAAACAAAAAGAATATGATATTAAAAAGTAAAATCTCAATCACTGAAATACACCAAATGAAGTTAACAGATGGTTATTAGCACAAATTTTTAACACGAGAACTCGCTCGCTTGAGCTAAAGTTCCAACAGTTCAATAATCAAGAACAAATTAGTATTAGCAATGTCAACACAAAAGTTTCGTTTTTCTTTTCTCGCCCCTTCTTTACTTGAGCAAACAGAAAAGTGATAACATGTGATGGGAACAATGTAGCTCACGAACAGAACATAATAGACCAGCAATAAATCGAACAACAATGCAGTATAGAAAAATTAAATTAAATGATCCCAGCTACAAAACAAACGCAGGACATTGAAGGGAATAAAATAAAATAAAATCAGACTCCACTACATCCATTTTTTTCTTCCACATTTCATCACAGCCCACAATGCTTCATGCAAAAGCTAAAATAAACATAAAGCAAATAGCAAAGAAACCTTACCACAACATACCAGAGACCCAATTGTGATGGCCAAAATTTTTCTATTTTTATTGTAAAATAAGTATATCTTTATATGAAAGACAAACTTCGAAGCAAAGAGAGAAGTACGAGTACGATAAAGCCATGCGCATCACGATTTAACGGCTCTTCCTATACACATTGCGCCGTCCGCATTGACGAGAAGTGAAATCAAAGCGTGTTTTTCTTTTCTCCTTTTTTTTTCCAAAATAAGAAACAATTCCAATATGGGAACAATGGAAAACCGAAAACGCGTATTTATTTTGTTAGAGAATTACAAAGCATGACAAGGTAATAGGAGGGGGGAAAAAAGAGTGTGAAGAGGAGGAAGAACGAATCTGCGGAGAAAAGAGAGGCGAAAAATAGGCAAAAACTAAAATAATATAAAATAAATAAGAGAGTAATTTTCGGAAAAGTTGAGAACAGAATCTGTAGAAACGCACCTTAGGAGAATGGGGAGGGTTTTCTGCGAAGCATGAAATTTGCTCCGAGGAGCACGAAAAATCCAAGCACAGAGAAACTTCTTCGTTGTTAGTTGTTGTGTTGTTGGCTCCAGAGAAAGAGAGAGGAAATTGTACGAGTTGTTCACGTTTTACAACGGAGAGAAGATAGGAATGTTACGCGCGGAGGAGCGCGTGTGAGAGGAGGAGTACTTGTTTGAAAGCAACCATGGTTTGGGCTTTTCTGCAGTTGCACGGTTATCGCTGCTCAGCGATTTCCACACTCTCACGAGTCGTGTCGAGTCTCCACCTATGTTATGTTTATACGCAGTCCATACTTTTCTTTCCTTTCCGTTTTTTAATATTCACTTGAATGGACATAAATGCCCCTTCAAAAGTGGAGAAAAATTTGTCTTTAAATGCTTCACTCTGTATGTTTAAAAGTATTTCTTATGTTACGATAAAAAAATCTTTTACGTTTCCAATTCCCCCAAAATTATTTCTTATAAAATATATATATAATTTAAATGAAATTTTTTTAAAGAAAAGTAAAAATTTTCAATAATAAATTACGTCTAAAAATGAATTTTTACAAAGAAATAAAGTATGAAAAAAATATAAATAAGTATATATAATATTTTATCGTATGTCAATTTTAAGTTCATCAACCAACAAAACTAAATTTAATAATTGATCAATGGAGAGAACAAATTACAGAAATTTTTTATTTAATTTCGTTAAAGAGATAAGACGTTCTTCTTCTTTTTTTTTTTCTTTTGAAAAAACTCTTATTGTAATTTACAAATGATGAAAGACTCTTAACTCTTTAAAGCTAAAAATAACATAAGACTAACAATACTCTTTGACTAAAATAATAACGCTCAAAATTTTATCAACTTCGTATTTTATTTACGGATGCATGTATTTTATAATAACTTTAATTATTGAATTATTAATTAATTGTTTCTATTAATAACAAATATAAAGACAAATTATGTTAACAATTTAAATTTAATTAAAATTATTTACTTCATTATTATAATTGTTTCATTGGTGTATCATGTTAAAGTCAAGACACTTAGCACTTGAACTATTGGTGAAAATTAAAACATTAATTCTTAAAAAATAATGATTATTTGACAAGTTTGTTTAAATGACCGATTCCAAATATTTTTAATATGTAACATAAAAGAACAACAGTTCTAAAAAGATTAAGAGTCGTGACTGAATCAGCAACGACATAAAGCGATTGCATCGTAAGGAACATATTGTGTTTTTTTTTTTTTTTTTTTGTCAACTGGAACACATTGTTTCTACAACCCATCATTTATTTAACTTATTAAACATGCATGAGGGTTTGACGATTTAAGTAACATTAACCAGATAACGATAAGTCGATAACTGATTTAAAATTTGCAAAAACAAACTTCTAAAAGTGAATATAATAAACACACCTTTTTATAATTTTTACGCGTCAACCTTTTCTATAAAAAATAGAAAAGTAAATAACTCAAAGTATATTTTTACCTATGCTAAAGCGCATACACAACTATATCAGCTCTACTAAGGACATTGTACCTTTGCTGTCAATGATTATTAATTGTCTCTAAAGAAAATGAATGCTAAACCCCAATGGGTAGGTAGAAAGTTTACACTGTACATAGAGGTTTTCATTCGCATCAGAGTGGACTACGAGATTAAGTGCAAAAGAAGTAAAGAAGAAATTATTATTTTTGTAATCAATCTTTTTTGGTAACACTGAGCATCATTTGTATATATTTTTATAATCTAAATTTTATATTTTTTATACTTTAAAAATTATGCTTGAAGAGGTTTAAAAAAGATAATTAAATTGCAAACCTAAAAAAATTGTACAATAATACTCAAGAGAAAATTATTTATAAACACAAAAACTTCATAATAAAAATCTTACTAATTCGTCAAAGACTAATCATAAACTATATAGCTTTATAAATCAAATTGATATAAATTTATGCCGTTTTATTGTAGTCCTGCTTTTCTTTTCTTTTTTCTTAGGACAAAACAAATAAATAAATAAAAATAAGCATGCCAAGGGTAAAAATGTCCAATAAAGTTGATTTCATTTAACAACATAAAAATATGAACCTGGTGATTACGAATAGCGAATAGCTAGGTTCTGCTTTCTGCCTGCAGCAAAAGTACATAAAGCAGTGATTCCCCATGCCATTGGTACGTGTATTACCAATTCTATTTGTTGCGCGTGAGAGCAACATTATCCAAAAATTGTTATCTTTTGCTCTTATTATTTATTATTAGCAAATTTTGTTTGGAAACAGAAAACGTTGTTAGGAGCCTTGAGAAAACGCTCAACGAGCTCGCCATTATCATGTGCTTGGTGTCAAATATATTTAAAATTTCAAGGTCTTCGTCTTTTTTGTTTTTTGGGTCGCATGATCTTCGTATTTAATGGTAACGAAAACAGATACGTCTAAACTTTTATGCATGCTATAATGAAGATAATAAATCATTAGTGTTATTAATCAGTATCTTGAATTAATTAGGAGTGTACTAAAAATCATAAAAAATCGTGTTAATATTTTTTTATAAAAATTATTTTGTCCATTTCTTTAATCAGCATTTTAATAAATATATCAATGAGATAGCACTATCGCGTGTGAAGAATAACTTTTTAAATATATTATCAATCTTTTAAATTGAATTTAAATATTTAAAATAATTAAATTTTATTAAAAACTTATTATTTTTAAAGAATTAAAATCATCTCTAATGATTATATATATTATTTATTTATCGCAAGTTTGGATTGTAATTTGCAATCTTCAAACCTTGATTTAGAATGTATAGATTGACTTTTATTTGAAACTAATATATGTTAACAATATTCAGCAATGTTGTGTTTACATGTTTTTTTGAAACATTTTAGTAAAAAAGGGGGCAAAATTACCTATTATCGGGTCAAACAGATATTTACAGACCATAATTATAATCCAAATATATCATTCTTAGATAATGTACAAATACTACCTCTCGTTTTCAAAAAAAAAAATTATGTAAAAAAAATATTATAAAGTGTGTCACAGCATGAAACTATATTTCAAGTTTAAAACATGCTGCATGCGATTATATGCTATAAATCAACTATCTATTTTTGTTTAATAAATGTTGACCGAATATTTTTTTATTCGTTTTAACGTATCTTTATTATTAACCATGATTTATTAAGAAACATGAAATTTAACAAATTTCTCTCGTTATTAATAAGGTGTGTATATGATTTTATGACTTCTGATAAAATTTAATTAATAATAAAACGTGTATTAGAATTCTTGATTTGTTGTCATCGAATGTTCAATCATGCATGTTAGTGAGTTACATATAGGTTTGGAGAGATTTGCCGTGATATTATCGTAGGTTCATCATCCAAACAAGAGGAATAAGAGTACCCAACCAATAATTGACGTGCAACGATGACGAGTTAAGGATGAAATGATTGATTTAATATTAGCCAATAGTTAATGAATTAAGCTATCGTTGGTCCATACAACTACTGGTTGCTTTCACGAAAAGGAAATTATCAAAAACTGAGTGAAATTAAATTTAAACTATTAATACAATTAAGATTTGTGTTTAAATTAATTTTGGATATAAAAATTATATGTAGAAGAAATAAAAAAGAATCTCAAGGTTAAACAAAATGCATTAAGCAACAATTGATGGTGTGTAGTGTGTAGGCAGAATCTTCAAAACAGTGACGAAAAGAATGAGTGAATATAGTAAAGAAAGATGCAAATGCATGTCAAAACATGAGTTTTAGTACTTTATGTTTTTTTATGACTCATTGGCACTTTTTCTTGTGCTTTGGATTCACTTTGGGCGCAGCCACATATCAGCCGTCCCAGTAGCGTTATTGGTTGGTGTGTGTGATTTGACAACTCTCTAACTCTCATCCCTCCGCTTTGGCCCTCGGGCCTCACCTTCACACACCAATTCAAATATAAATTATTTGGTTATTGAACATTTCCATTCCTATATTTTTATTAATTAACCAATAATGTTGATCTTTATTTTCAATATGATTTATGCCCCCACCAAAAATATATTATTTAATAATATTTTCAAATGTGGTTGGTGCGGTTTATTTAGGATCTTAATCCTTTAAATTTTATAAAATAAGAAAATCAAAATTTATTTATTGTTAATTTTATTATATTGATTTAAGTTAATAATAAAAAGTTTTCTCTTATTTAAAATAGTTAAATTTATTGTATTAATCCACATTCTTAATTTTCATTTACGTAACACATATATGTATATGTATAAACACGTACATTATTTGCATATTACACAAAATAAAAGAAAATATAAATTTTAATAATATAATATATTTCCTAAATTATTATTTTTTATTGTTACGTGACTAAAGTTGTAATTTCATAGATAGATGGATATGATATTTGTTTGAAAAAGTTTATAAATAATTCATATAAAATATTTTTTATAATTTTTTTACACTTAATAATTTATGTTTTTATAATTTATTTTAAATAAATTTATTATCAAATTTATATCATAAATTATTATTTAAAAATAATTAAACAAGTGTTTAAATTATCTGTATGCCAAAATTCATCTAACATAAAATTTTACAATGATTATGAATTCAAAATTTTTAAAATCTAACTCAGCGAAGTAAGTTGCATTGAATTATAACATATTTTGACACCTTAAAAAAAATTAACTTCTTAAAATTACAGCTCCTAAAAAACAGAGGTTATTGATGTAGAAATTTATGCATCCAAAAACAACATTATAAATCTCAAAACACGCAAGCATATGAATGAAACATGTATTTTATTTTATTTTTTTTCGTTATTTATTTTTTTTGATAGGCAAAACAAATCTTATTAAAAAGAGTTTAAGGAGAACTCAAAACTTATATACACAAAAAATTACTTACTCAGAGAAATAAAAAGCAAAAATACACTTATGCAAAATTAAGACAGATACAATTTTGTGGATTCAAATACCAATCAGCTAACATAATAGCTTCTTCCTTACTAACAAGTGATAACCATTTTCAGGATTTTAGAATAATAAAATCTAAGACTTTCCTCTCATCCAAAATACCATTGAAAAATATAATTCTATTTCTTTTCGTTATTTTACTTTTCAAGTCCTCTTTAATATATATTTTTTGTATGATTTCAACATCTTTTCAATTTTTTCAATTTTCAAAATTTCTACTGAATGATTTTGTCGTATGAGAAAACAAAGTATGTTTGTTCTCAAAACACTCGGTC